TAAATTTTGATAGTTTTTCTTGAATACTAAATTGTTAAAATGTTCTAGTTCTATACACTATTTTCAATTATTGTCTTAGATTTATCAATATTGAAGAATTGTATTTGGAAATTATTTTTGCCAAAATATACTTTAAAATAAATAAAATAGTCCATTTTAATATAAACACAAGCTGCATATAAATTTTGTACAAAACATATATAAAACTTATATAACGGTATAGGTGCACGTGTATTTATTAATAAATATAAAACCGTATTTCACCTTCTTTTTTACTTCCTGTTGAACATACTTACATAAATATATATATAAATATATTAATGTAGCTTTACACAAACTTAGTATTTTTTCTTTATTTTTTGACCAATCTTGTATTTTTTTTTGTTTTCAATTTACTTAATTTATTTTAGTATTTCCTATATTTATACAATAATAAAATAAATATTTAAGATGTTAGAAATATAAATTCTAGACCAGAAATATTAAATGTATTAATGATTGTTATAAAACGTGAATCAAGTAATTGTAAATAAGGAAATTGATCTTATATATTTTAGTTGTTGTACATAAAATTTTTTATCATATAATTATACTTTTGACCTGGAATTCCAAACAAAAAGGATGTTGTTAGAAATGAAAATTTAATTTAAAATTAGTTATACGGAAGAACAATTTTTTATTTTTTTAAAAAAATTAAATTTTTATTTAGACTTTAAATTAAAAATTTTATAATGCAATCATATCGAATTTTAATATTTTATGAATAGACCGAATATCTAGCTTAAAATTTCTTTAGAAAACCAACATCTTGGAAAATATTTGAAAAAAAAAAACATATTTACCTTTATCTAAGAAATGACCATTGAAATCCTCTGAGACATTAAAATATTTTCTCAAATAAATTTTTTTTAATTTAAAATTTACATTTTTTCTTTTTAAGATTCTTATTGAGAAAAATTTATATAAATGTGTCATAAATAAGCTGATTTCCCTATATAATTTTGCAGAAGTTAACTTTAAGGTATTCTTTGCCAAAATATGAAAATCTATTATTAATTAATTTTTATCTTACTTTTACAAATTCTAGGAAGCACCTAATATAGTTCTATTCAGCTCTTTAATATTTTTTTTTTTCAAAAACGCCATGAAAAATTTCTGAATTTTCACATTTTAGAAGTTCTCTATAGGATAATTGGGGATTTTCAATAACTGAGATATGCACTAATATTTCTAAATTAAATTTTAAAAATCTTTTTACACACACTTACAAATCCGCAAAACTTTTGCAGATTTGCAACATATTCGAGTAATTGTTCAATATGCAACGATTTTTTTTTATTCTCTTCTTCGAATTTGTAATATTTTTCCAGTAATTCCACTTTTTCAGATTTCCGCAGATTTTCCACTTTGGATTTATCGAACGTGCTTTATATTAAGATGTATAAGTTACAATTGAAATATCAGAAATTGGAATTCATTTTAATCCTTTACCTTTTAAAATGAATTAACAAAATTTTGCTATTTGAGTCCTCATGTTCTTCTAAAATATTACTTTTTCAAAAAATTTGAATTTTATATGTCCACCATAATTAAATGAATAAATTGATTTCAGTTACAAGTAGCCATTTTTTATTACAAAATTACTAAATAAATTTAAATAATAAATTCTACTTGGCTTAAATAGTCCTACCAATTATCTCAACTTGTTGCATTTGAAAATTCAAAATTTTCAGTCAAAAATCGAATTGGGCCAAACTTTACACTTTTTTTAATAAAGTCAAGAAAATTATAGGCAAATCTCATATATTAGGTACTGTGAATTTAGCAGCAATTGCGTTGTACTCTTCGAAAAAAGCAAACTATGTGAATATAAAAATAATTCCTTGGAAAATTCTTATCCTTGTATAATACAATATGATCTAGGTTTTTATACAAATAGGACATTATTTTAAATATTTTTTTTTAATAAGAAATCCCCAAGAAAAAAAAATAAAGAAATGAAATTTTTGTATAAAATTATGTAAATTTTTTTTTTTGTGAATCAAGAGTTATTGGATTTTTAAAAGATTTTTTAAATGACATACATATGTACACATGTTAAAGTAGGTATTACAGTTGGAAAGACATAAAATCAGGATCTGAATCAAAAGATCGAAGAAAAGAAACAAAAATTACTTTTAGTATAATTTTTAAATTAAGTTCTAAAATTAAAATTTCTTCTATTAAAATTAATTCTACTTAAAATTTCATCCAACAGCGTACTTTCAATATTAGAAAGGTAACCATTTCAAATTTTAAAATATGAAAAAAATCCCCTACATTATTCTAATACTAAAAGAAACTACTGTTTAATTATTAATATTCGATCGTGTAATATTGTTCTACAAAACATGATACTGTTGTCAATTAAACTAAATAAGAATTCTGTAAATTTAATTTTAAATATTAAGATATTTAAATTTTAGGTAATTATATTGTATATACTAGCAATTGTATATACTAGATCCCTGATTATATTTAATTTCCTTTTACCATAACTTTATTAGATTAAATTCATACAAACTTTTCATTCACCACAAATTATTTTTACTTTTCATCGACCCTTTCATTACGCATCTATTAGAATTACATTAACGAAGTGACAAAACATGATACGTCTCAGAGGACCCATAAATTAAATGATAAAATAATAATCTAAGTGATTTTGGTAATGTAATTATAAATTTATAACAGACCCCCAGCAAAATTTTATAAAATGTGCTGAAAAGAAAAAATAAAAACTAAAAGAAAAAAGACATAAATACAAAATTTAAAACTTAAAAAATTTTCAATTCAAAACTATTTTAGTTTTTTTTAAATCACAAAATTATTCAGCCCGATTTAACTATTAGAGTCCTTTTCAATGTCCTTACATAATTTCACTTTCTTGTTATAAAAATTATTAATATTTTAAATATTAATTTTGATTTTAAATGAAAAATTCAATTATAAAATAAATTTCTATGTTTAATAATTTTTGAAATTAAATTTTAGATAAAATTCGCAAAGTAAATGTTAAAAAACGAACAATGGACATATTTAATATGATCCGTTAATTGCTAATTCAAATTATTCGTATAACTTATTCTCTTTTTTTTTTTGTATTTTTTTTTTTTGTTACCACTTCAACAAATAAGTTGATATCAGTTCCACGGGGAATTTCGTTTTTTTTTTAGGACAACCAAGCCAAACGATATCTTGAATACAACTGAGCAGAAAACCTGTTGAACTAATGTTATTATAATAATTTTCCTCTTAAAGGATATTATTTTACAGAGATGTATAACAGACATTGAAAACACAAACAAAAAAAATCTGTATATCAAAAAATATTAATCAAATGGTTCCATCTCTATATAATTTTACTCAATCATTGTTTATTTTAAGTAAAATGAATGTATGTATAAGAATAATGTCTCAATAACATTAAATGCAAAAAATGGCATAATATAAATATATAATATAAAATGTATATTGTATACAAATAAAGCAACAAGAATAAATTCTAAGGACATTGAAACTTCATAATATTTATAATGTATATTTGTTTTGTTTATATTTATATTGTAATATACATGCATATATAAGGAAGAAATATTATATAAAAAATATGTATGAATAAATATTTTTTATGTACCTTAAATGTTCTTTTTACGGAAAAAAAAATATAAATTTATAAATATAACAAATATTTAATTAGTAAAAAAAGACTTAATTTTTAAAATTACTATCGATCATCTTAATTTATAACCAATACAATTCATACAATTATGATAACTTAAAATGGAAAAATTTTGTTACTTCCAAAATAATTACTACCAGCTCTTTATAAAGAATTACCACTATTAATAATTACCAGCTCCTTATAAATTATAAAATATTTACTCGGCACTACTTTTATAAAAATGAAATTTTAATTAAAATACTTAATTCGTTTATTTAAACATTTTTCTCTAATTAGATGCCTATCCCTTTAAATAAAAGCCGAAATTCTCTCTAAATAAAAGCCTATCGAACTTCAAACAAAATATGATTGGTTTATTTTAAAAGTAACCTAAGTTCTTTTCAATTAAACAAGAAGTATTGCTCCGTTTGGGTTTCTTTAAAGTACGTTAATGAGAAACTCGATTAATGGGTTTTTTTTTTTAAAGTATATTTATTTTCCTACCCAACAGCATAAATTTCAATTTCAAATATTGATATTATCATTGTTTTGGAATTAAAAGTATTTTTGAAATTTCAAATGAATTTGATAGGTCACTTTCAAAATAAACAATGCATATTAAAAATATTATAAATTACTTTAAATTTTTAGAAATAATTTTAAATTTAAATTTTTAAATTATAATACGCTTATCCCACTTGGAAATTGCAAGGATTCAACATTTTATAATAAGAAGGTTTCCAGTTGTAAGTAATAAAATATAAATAACAATCAAAAATTAATAATGAAATAACTAGTAAATAATAAATTATTTAAAAACATATTATTTTTTTTTTTTTATAAACAAAAACCAAAAAAAAAAACAGAAACAAATTTAATATTTTTATATTTAATTAATTTATTTTAAAGATTTTTTTTTAAATTTATTTTTAAATTTAATTAAAATTTTTTTTATTATTATTAATTTTAAACAATTATAATAAAATTTGAAATACAACAAATTCCAATTTTAATTTATTAAATGCATTTATTTTAAAAATGCTAAAGTATATATTTTTCAAAAAATGATTTGTCTTTTTTATTGTATTTCAAATACAATTTTTGTTTTTTTCTTTTTAAAGATTAAATTTATACAATTTTGATTATTTATGGTAAATTTTTAAATGGATATTTTTATATTATATAAAGATGATAATTTAAATATTTAAAATTTAGATTTCATATATTTATTTCGATTAGTTAGGATTAATTTTAATTTAGTTTTTTTTTTTTTAATTTTGAATAAATCAATATATTTTAATTTGAATTATTTATTAATTTATTTCAATTATTATTTCTTTTCGTTTTTTTTTTAATTGAAATAACAAAATGCTGTTTTAAAGATTTCTTAAAAATTCGGATTTAAACTCCTTTTTTTATTATCGAAATAAAAAAAAAACTTATTTCATTAGCCTTAAAATTGGTGTTTTGACATAATATTATAAATATTTTTAAAGCATTTTAAATATTTATGTATATTGAAAAAATAATAATGTGATTATAATATACAAAATATTGTAGAAACTTTTTAAAATATCCAAATTTTATTTTAAATAAGTTCAAATTTTTTTAGTAATATAGTTCACATTCTTCTTTGCTACTATTGAATAAATTTAATAATATGAATAAAATGTATGTGATAGCTCTTCTACCATAAATATTCCGACCATAATATCTTTCTTTTCTACCATAAATATTTTTAAAATTGTTTGTATATAAGTTGCGCTTCTACAATATTATTTTAATAATATATATTTGACTATAATCACATTATTTTTTTTTTTTTTTGTAAAATTTTCTTTTTTATTAATATTTTTAAATATTTAATTTAATGTAATAAGATCAATATATCAATCTGATAGAATTAACTTTACTCTACAAAAAAGAGTTGAGCATAATAAAGAAACTTCAAAAGGAACTACATAGGCATATTTTTCTTTTATAAATTTTTGATAATTTACGGAAAAAATTTTTTTCTTTTTACATTGTTACTTAAGTAAAGTCTAGTAAAAGTTATATATTCGACAAAAGTTAAATATATATATATATATATAAGAAATTTTTCATTTTTTTCAATGATTTTTAATAGTAGATTAATAATATGATGATTGGAGTAATTGTTTACGTTTACACCTAAAAATTCCTTATTTTAAAAAATTGTACACTATTCTGCTGTTTTTTCTGGATTCAATCCACATTTCTTCATTTCAACGGCCACTTGAAATAAATAATCATAACATTCAGCCCTAAAAAAATTTTATGTAAGAATTAATTAAACTGGGGTAATTAAAAAAAATATAACATTTTTTTGTCACTTACATAGTTTTTGCCTTTTGCCATGTACTACCCCATACATAAACACCATGACGTCGTACTAATATAGCACTTGTCCCTGGATATTCTTGCATAGCAGAATACATTGTATCAGCTAAATCCTTTTCAAAACTTGTATTTTCAATTATTGGCACAATTAATTGTTCATCATATCTTAAATGTCGTAATTTTTCTTCATCATAAATTCCCTTCAGTAACAGAGATATGTATGTATATAGATTAAATAAAATATTTGCGAAGGTTAAAAACAAATACATAATATATATAGTAATTAAAAAAAAATTCCATTCAATCAATTTATTTGCAATTATTTATAATTGCAAAACATTTTAAACGGAAAAGTTTTCATTCTTATGTAACTATATAGTTCATATATCAATAATATCCGGATTAAAAACATAGATATTAGTTTACCTTAATCATCTCTAAATGAGTACAACGGAATTCTTTTCCTGGCCACAACAATGTTGCCATTACAGCATTCTGTGAATGAGAATGAATAACAGCACCAGAACCTCTATGTTTATAGGCAAGCATAAATAAAGGTGTGCATTGACTTTTTGTTAATCTGGAAAGTAAATTATTAAGTAATGAAACGGTATTTATCAATAAATGTAAAATTTATATTATAGTTACAAGTACTTACTTTTTATATTCTGGTGGCAATTGTAAATCGTCACCTTCAATATTTTGAACAAATAAGTCTTCAGGTTGTATACGCTCTTTTTGAACACCCGATGGAGCGATATAAATATCATTACTATAATATAAAATATTATAAAAATAATATAAAAATTAAGTTATTGAAAAACCGCAAATGTTATTAGAATTATTAAATATTAAAAAAATCAAAATTAGAATGGAATGCAATCAATATCTAATTAGGAAGCTATGAAAATTAATATGTATATTGAAAATTGAAAGTGTACTCTGATTTAAAAAAAAAAGTAGACGTACGTATAAAGTAATTCTATAAAACTTACTCTAACTTAATACTTATTCCACCACCTGTACCAGTTACCCATCCTAAATTATAAAACTGACGACATAAATCTGGTATTAATTTTCTTGGATGCTCCTAAAAAGAATTTTAACATGTAAGTAAGGTTTTTGTATTCTGTATTCTAAGTTAATATGTTATATAAATTTCTGTGTTTAGAAAAAATGTACACAGTTGTGTACATATACTTATGTACGTGCATAATTTAATATTTTTATATTAAAAAACTAACCTCAGGCAAATCCTTATAGATAGACATTTTTTGTGCAAAATTTGTCCGCAAAATTTGTCTGCAATTTATTGTTAATTTATTAATAATTTATTATATCTTATTCAATACTACAAATATTTTCAATATTACCTTATGTATAACAATTTATCTTAATCAAATTGTTGTAATAATTTTTTAGGAGTTTGATTTGAATAAATTCGTAAAATTTTTTGTAATACTTTGCATAAATATTTCTGGAAGACAGCGAAGAAGTTTTCAAATTTTTATTAAATACAAAATAATTTTATTAAATTAAAATAGAAAAACAATATTTCACAGGAAAATTAATGATTATACTCAAACAGAGTTAAAAATTCTAAATGTGCAAATTTATCTTGAAAAATAATTCTAAACCACAAATTCAATTACAAAAAAACAAAGGCGCTTATCATACTGAACTGACTGCTCTCTATTTACATTTTAAAAATGTCAAAGATTATGTACATCAAGAGAGATTATATTGCGCAAATGTTAGTTTTTCTCAAATCTCATCGGTTCTTTTCTAACCAAGAAAAAAAAACAAACAAAATTATGGTTTGATATGAGGAGAATTTGAGAAATAGAAAAGAGAATGATAAAAATAAAGGTAAAAGTCACATGTTTTGATATTCATGAATGAAACTACAAAAATATCTTACAAAATACCGACAATGGGGGGGGTACGATTTTCATTAATGATAACAATCTTTTCTCACTATGACGAAAAATGAGAAAAGTACATGAATATTAAAATATATGACGTATTTTACTGTTGATATTTGTTATTGTTTATCACTTTACAAGTAGTGATAAAATAATTAAGTCACAAATCGAGTTCATAGTACATAAGAAGAGTACATACTTGCATTATTAAAGGTATGTACACTTACATAGCATTGACTTTCTTCAACTATCTTTCAAACAAAGCACTTAATTTTCACTATTTCCTATAAAATAAAACAGGTACTTTTTTTACAAATATAAAATATTGTCCTTTTATTGAAACGTAATATTATAGAATAATTTTTTAAATATCATAGAACATTTCTATTAATATATAATTAAAAAAATATTTTCAAACTCTATATTATGCTCTATAATATTAAATTATCTCTCGTGCTGCTCCATAATATTAAAAACAGAACTCGGTTTTACTAATTTCGTTCCGTAAAATGATTTGCATGTATAAATTTTCATTATTTGTAAATCTAAGTAATAATTATGAAGCATCATTGAAAATTTTTTCTGAAAAACTTTAATATTTTGAGCCAACTAGTTTCTCAATTTCACTTGTATCTTTAATACATTTGGCAGTCAAAACTTCAATTTCATTTGCAGATTTAATATATACATCATCTTCAATCCTCACTCCAATACCTCTAAATTCTGCGGGAACATCCTCTCTATCCAAACCAATATAAATTCCTATAAAACTGATACATATTAATAATAAGAACAAAAAGTACAATTTTAAATTATAAACCTGGTTCAACGGTGCATACCATACCGGGAACTAATTTCGTACTTCTTGATATTAATGGTGTATCATGAACATCCATTCCTAAATAATGTGAAACGTGATGTGGACAAAAAGTATATGCAGCCTTAAAGATGAAAAATAAGTTGAATAAATATGCTAAGATATTATCTTGAAATTTTTTAAACCTTGGCCAGAGGAACACCTTGTAAAGATTGAGAAATTAAACCTATTTCTTGCAAATATTTTCCAAGTTTTAAACACATAGTATCAAATAAATTATCTAGAGTATCGCCGCCATCCTTCAACATTGTATCTATGAAAAAAAAATTTTGTAATATTATAAATCGTTTTAGAACATCTTTTTAAGCTTACTTAATAATTCATTTTGCAGGGTTAAAATAATATCATATAAAACTTTTTGTGCAGTATTGTATTTTCCATTAACCGGCCAAGTTCTTGTAATGTCACTAGTGTAACCACCATATTCGCAACCTAAAAAAAATAACAAAAAATTAAACAAATACAAATCGTACAATATAACAATTAAGAATCTAACCAGCATCCATTAAAACTAAATCACCATCTTTAGTTAATTGTGTATTGTTGATATAATGTATTGTAGTTGCATTATTTCCACTTGCAACTACTGGAGGATAAGCCAAATAACTAGCATTCTTCATTCTACACTTAAAATCCATTAACGCAAATATATGATGTTCAGAATCTCCTACTTTCGTTTCTTTTATAACCTCGTTTATGCTTTCAGAAGCAATTTGACATGTTTTCCTCATTAAATTTATTTCAGCTTTAGATTTCTGAAGTCTTAACATATGAAAAAATACCGTAGGACTATTTATTTGAGATTTTGCACAAGAATTTATGATTTGACTCAAATTTGATTGAGGCGAATTTTTAATATCATACCAAATACTCAGTGCCTTGTTTGCCTTTGATATTTTGTTTTCCAATACATTGCTAAAGTTAACAACATCGAAACTTTCTTCTATACCAAAGAATTCTGGTGAATAAACTGTTCCAGTTCTGGGCCCATCCCACAGTTCAGCATGTTTTTCTTTCGGTCTCATGAATAATGTTGATTTAGTGATATCTTTTTCATCAATTTCAAGAACTAAGATAGAATCTGGCTCCAAACAACCAGTTAAGTAAAAGAAATCACTATTTTGGCGGAAAACATATGGTATTTTATCGCTCATATATCTCTTGCTAGCTGACGGTACGATTACCTAAAAAAAATTCACAAATGAAATATTAAATTTTTTCATAATGTTATTTAAATTTTTTTTACAATATGATGTTTAGCTTCTGATTTAGTGTCGACAGCGTATTGTTTAATTTTATATAATAATTTCAGTCTTCTTCCTCTATATTCTGTTAATGTAATGCCAGGCGTTACTTCACCTATATCAAGAAGATGAGGATGTGTATGAGGAGTTGGCTGACCTAGATGTACATTATGTAAAGATGTTTTTGACTCGGTTTTTACTTTTGCTACAGCATCAATTAGATTAACGGTCGAATTTTTAGAATATTTTCCTAAAAAAAACATACATAATAAAAATGAAATAAAACTTGTTTTTATTTTAAACGAAAACTTACTAGCTGTTAAAAAAAACTTATTTGGAGGAAATCTGCTGAAAACTTTCCTCGCAAACATTTTATATATTTTTAATCGCGTTACTTTAAATATTATTATTCGACCGATCTATTATTCCGTTTTTTTCGATTGCAAAATTTTAAACCATAAACATATTTATAAAATAATGTTAATATATGTAAAGTAATATGTAAATATAAAATATAAATTTAAAATTTGTAATTTCTAAACAAAAAATGAATTTGCTTATTGGAAAACATATGTTTTTGGCATTTACGAAATTGTCAATAGCGGTGATGCTGTATGAGTTTAATTAATCAAAACAATCAAAGTACTTTTAAAACAATGTCTGATTTTTGGGAAATATCTGCAAAACGGATATAAAGAACGGTTATTTTGTTTCTGATAACATGTTTCCACACAATCGAAATTTGATTTTACGCAAAACATACAACATTCTTCTTCTTCGTCTTCGCCTTTGAGTACAAAAAGTCGAGATTTCGGCGAAAATGCATTTCTGCACGCTAAGAAAGTGACATAAACGCTAGGAAAGCATAAAAAGCAAACTTTTGGGGATATACCTGTCTGCTGTTCACTTTTCCCTGCCACTCGTGCATTTATGTTCGACTTAAACGATTTTCACAAAAATTTATATCTGATTTTATTTTAAGAAAGAGCGTTTTCAACAACTTTTAGGATACAACTGGTCTCTAGAATTGGGCCTTTACTACGGGTCGTTTTAAGTTTTCAACTATTTTTAAGAAAATTATCAGCGGGTTTTTTTGAATTTTTATACACCACATTTCATGCACAAAGTAATAACCAATCGATTCTCAAAAAAAAACTTTCTCTAAGGGTCGATTTTACATTTTTTGAACCATATCTAAAGAAAAGATCTGATTCTGAATGGAAACTCTGCAGGAAAATCGGGTTATATATAATAAACCTAAAAACTTTTTACATAATGGTAAACTAAATAATATCATTATTATAAAAATAACTTTTTTTATTAAAAATTTTAGCAATAATAACTTTATTTCAAATTTTATATAATAAAAACAAATAATTTCAACAAAATTTTGTTATTAAATATCAAATAATATATATATATATACATGTATAGTATCTTTTTATTTTGTAAAAAAAAACAAATTTAAAAAAAATATGAGTCCATTCTGAAGATCACTTTAATTCTTTAGGTGTACTTGACCCCAAATAATGTTGCAAATCAACAAGAGTCGATTCTACTATTTTAGCTGGTATCGTTGGCATTCCTAAATTTTTATACGCTTCAAAACGATGGCAACCACCAAAACTATAATAATAATTTCCTCCTTCAGTACCTTTTATCCATAATATATCAATTGGAGGAACTTCTCCTGGATTTTCCTTCAAAAACAAAAAAAAAATCATTTTACTTTATTTAATCATATTAAAATTAAAAAATATAAAAATTTATTTACTCTTATAGTATCCATTAGCGATTGTACTTTTTTATCATCTAGGACTGGAGGTATTGGTCTTATAATAACACTCATTGGTACATTATGAGTTTCTTCAATTAATGCTGTATGAATCGTCCTGTCTGAAGACATATTTCTAACTGCAAATTGCAAAATTATTAAAAACCATAACATAATGTTATATAGGGAAAAATTAAGATAAAATTTCATTCCTCTTTTCTATTCAAAACAATAAAAATTTTCGCTGATTCTATTTTCTCCGTATTATTAGGAGTCTTGAAACTGAAATTGTTTTAAATAATATTTGATATGTGAGTTAAATTTACAATATTATTGGAATTTATGATGAAATTGGAAAATGTTAAATTTTTAAAAAATTATTTCCCGGAAAAAACAAAATTACATAAATTTACGTGCCCCATTACTAGAAACTGTAGGTCGCAAAACTTATAGGTGGCAATAATACAAAATCTCTTCAAGGACACTTAATAATTTTATTTTTCACGCATAATTATTCATAAATATTAACGAAAGAATCCAGGTATTTACATGTTTTTATTTTACAATTACAATATATAATATTACTTTAAATATCTTGTACACTATTGATTATTCGAATTGAAATTATGATCATCAGGTTGTTTTTCATTTAATTGAAAATTTTTACGTAAATTATGAAACGGTCTTCCAAATTCAAGAACTAAGCATTCGCCGCAATTAATAAGAATTAAAATTTTAATTTGTTCACGTACATTATTCAATTCAAATAAAAACCTTAAAAATAATTTCTACATATAAGCAAAATTACAATCTATTTTTTACAAAGAATATGTAAAAATGCATAAGTCATTGTTAGCACCCCTCGCTAAATATAAACACCTCATTTATCATAAGTATGTGTTATGGAATTTGAATATGCATTTAATAAAATAAAAATTCAGGACAAATACCTTGACTAACCAAAAGAAATTAATTAATTACATACATTAAAAACGCAGTATGGGTAAAAAGTTTTGAAAAAAAAAATCAAATGCAATTGATGACACTCTTAAAATTACTTAATAACATTTGAAATTATTATTGAATCGGATTAATTAATTACTCATATTAATTTAGAATTATTCCATATTCTACAAACTAAAACAAAGCACGTTTGCAAATACACACCAGAAACGCATATTGAGTAATGTAGTAATTTTAGAATTTCAATAACCTCTTTCGTATATTTTGTCTTCTTGTCCACCTTTTTTTTTCTATATAACTAAGAAATCGTACAAAAATTTTGTTGATTAAAATGCTGTTCAATCACCTAACCATAAACATACATACATATATGTTATACAGGCAGCTATACTTATTAAGGTGAAAGATAACCAAACTGGCTTTGCATATCATTTAATACAAAAATATTTTTTTTTTTTTATTTTTACTTGTTTATACATAGTTTTCATAAAATATTCGAGTTAATTTTTTATTATTATTCTGTCCATAAACAAACCCATATTTGAATATTTGAAAAATAAAATAATAAAGCAGCAAATATAAAGCGTGTTTCTTTTAACCTCTTAATAGTTAAATTATTCAAAAAAAAATCAAAATAATATAAAAGTTTACACAAAATTTTATGTACAAGTGTAAATGTTCCAAACGTTTATAACAATTACATTATAAGAATTCGCTTAAATATATCTTATGGTAAAAAAAATACTACAAGTCGAGATTTTTTAATAAAAAGAAAATTTTTAATTAGATATTTCTACTTGAGATTTGTGGAAAATTTAATTTATTCACAATAATAGCAATAGTCTCACTCTTCTTTCATGAGTTTACTGGTTAATCCAAGATCACAGATTAATGTGATTAATGAAATATAAAAAAAAAAACTGTAATAATAATTTTAATTCATTGTTCCTAATGAATAAAGCATTATAAATTTCAATCACCACCGTGAAAATGGTATTACTTTAAAAATTTTAATAGTATAACACAAAAATCCCGCGGTATACTGGTTGAGAATCACTATCGTCTAGCTAGAACAGTTTAATTTATGTATTGTTCCATTCATTTGCTTTTCTAGTCGCCCACATTTTTTATATTTTATGCTGCTGCAACTACGAGCATGTACACGATCTTCTACTACATCATACTAATTTTTGACAGAACAAAGAGCAAATATTTCTTCCTCACGTACAGAAAATAAATACAAACTTTCATATAAGTACATATGTAATTTAATTAAGCTAATGTAAAATATCAATATTATGATACAAAAATATTACCATAATATTGATAATAATAATTAGTATAATACTTTTATAACAATATCTTTTAGTGGTGCGACGTAGTACGAACACATTTTTCAATGTTTTGCTAGATTTAATTTAAATTTTTTGTCAAATATTTTTCATTTTATTTTTCATTTTTTTTATTTTGAGTTTCACCTGCTTAATAATATTAAGATAAAGATAGCAGTAAGTTTATTTTATTTTTATACTGTTCAGTTTACATATATTTTTTGTTTTTTTTTTTTATTATTATCAGCTTATTAGCCACAGTTAAGGTTATCTTAAAGTCAGCTTAAATTAGAAATTTCAAAAATAAATACGTATTAAAATATATATATATACGAGTATGTATATAATTTTGATAAAATGCGTTATGTGTATTTTTTGAAAATATTTTTCATTTTTTAAAACTTGATAACAAAATAAAGTGGGTGTACATAAAAAATATTAGATCTCAGTTTGATGTTTTTAAAATTTCTTAAATTCTTCATATTAAATTTACCAAATATTTTACATTTTTTGACAATGATTTCAATTAGGGCGCTACTTCTTTAAATAAGGTCTAATAAAATAGGATTAACAATGTTTGTCAATCTAAAATTTCTAAGACTGTAAATAAAACAGTGTCACATTACTGTCCTATAACATTCTTTATTCAAGCAAACAACGGTAAAAATTCTCATTTTGAAGAATAAAATTCAAAATACGAAAATGTACACACATTTGCATAATTGTATCAATTATGAATATTTCATAATGAATATTTCCTTGTTTTAAAACGAAAAAATAATCCTGAAAATTTAACCCTACAATCATAATCATCTTATGATGCCGAATGTAACCCTACACCGCCGAATCACGCTTTTAAATTTATTTCCGAATTTTTGAATTTATCGCCGAATTACGCTGTTAAACTTAAACATTTTCATTTAATTTCCCAGTCTATAAATTTAGAAACCAGAATTCTCTTCACATTTTTCTCAGAATTCCAAAACTTAAACATTTTACAGGAAAAGGGCCGAGGAGAAATTAAGATGTTCATTCAATATGTCGAACAAAATAGCAAATTTTCACTTCTATTATCAATTTCAATTAAACCAATATCTACAAAATTAATAACTAATAATATATTATGTATTAGCAGCACCTGGTTTAACATGTTTTAGTATAAAAAATGAATACAAGTTTCACAAGGTAATCCCCATATTATGTACATGTTATTTAAAATTTTGAAACATATTTGGAAATAAAAGAAAAAAATATTTTTGTTTTTTTTGTACAAAACCTGTTATATAGTTTTAATTTCTACGCACATAATTTATATAATTTTTTTTTAAATATCGCTCATTTGCTACAATAGTACAATACGATTTCTTAGTTATTTATGCAGGGGCAAGCGCTTAAAACATTTCTTTTTTGTACAAAAACACAACTTCTCTAATTTGAAAATTCTATATGCTGTAATGAAAAAAATATATTAATTACAAAACTTTCGAATTCGTTATTTCAGTGTTCCAGCAAACGACCGATATTTATATGGTCAAAAAAAACAAAATACATAATATATTCCAAAATAATATTAATTACGTTACATACGAGTATATTATGTATGTATATTTTTAAATACAAATAAGTGAATAGAAGGACATACTCGTATGTAAGTGCATATATGTACATCTTAATTTTTTGCAAAATAGCTAATAATTTCTTAGCAAATTAAATACGTGACAAAAACCAAGTTTTGAATAAAAGAAGCAAGAAATTTTTTCTGTATCACATCATTATAATGTTTCATAAGCAATAAAATGCATTTTTTTTTGCTTTTTAAAAAATATAAAATTAAAATAAACAAATCAATTAATAATAATATTTCTCCACTAACTATATATCTATTTACACATATATATATATAAGTATATATACATATATTAAAAAAGTTAATATTTATGATTTTTTTTATTCGCCATAATTATGAATTTTTCTTGGATCAACCAAATTTTTATTTTATATAATAATATATTTTTCAGAAAATATTCTCTTGGATATTAAATGATATCAACTCTTACAATTCAATATTAAATTACAACACAGTTTTATAATTCATTACTTACAAAATAGTCTAGAAATACTTCCAATATCAAATCCCAAACAAAATTTTTGATCACATTATTATCTTAAAGATTTTAGTTTTAGTACAACATTTGTTGAATTGTAAATCAATTCTGTATTATAACCCATTTCAATAGTTTATTTACATATTATGGTATTACAGTTTGGATTAGTCTCTTCGAGAAAAATTTATATTGCATCCACAAATCATAAAGAATAAAGTAATTAAAATTTTTGTCTATTCTACACAAGACAAATTTGAATAATGTGATAAATTAACAAATTCATTTTATTAAAAATTAGAGATTACAGAAACATGATGCAAACTGTACACATTTACAATATCACAAATAAAACCATAAAAAGCTAATTTACAAATTGAAAGAAATTTAAATATACAACAGCTAACAACACTAGAAATGAATGGTACGAGTACCTATGCATTCAAAATAAACTTAATTTTTAAATAAAAAAATTAAACCGTTTATTATCACTATCAAGTTAGTAATAATTTAATTCAAAACTATAAAAAATTGTACATTGATTTTGTAATGTTATATTATTATACATATATTTAATATTGTTATATGCATAAGAAAGTAGGTCAAAAATATTAATTATCTACTGCACCATTTATCGATACTAAAAATAACTATTTTAATACTCGTATATGTCTATTACAATATGCACATATGTAATAATAATAATAAAAAAAAAACTTGTGAAGGTAAATGAAACTCAGTGTTTCAATGAGTATAAGAATAATGGTTTTCTATTAATACGATTGGTTATATAGGTGAAATCAAATACATTTTTATTGATTAGTTAGTTAAAAATTTCAATTGAAGTAGGTAACAAACCAAAAATTAGATTAACTGGATATTTTCTTTATAGAATATTTATATTTCCTATTAGACAAGTATGAATTCCAACTATATTCCTGCAAATTTCAATTATTGACATTGTTATTCTTAGGTCACTTTTAAAATAAATCATCCAGTCGTAAATATTTGTGTTAGTTTAATAAATTAAATTTAAGACAAAAATTAAATTAGTTTACCCTCAGTCATTTAAAGGAACGTTTTAATTTCAAATATATTTTGTAAAACTTGAACAAGAACACTAAAACAGAATCTAATGCAATCTTGAAAATAATCATAATTGTTTATTTTAAATCTCTTTGTGAAGAAATCAATTTATTGTCCAAATAATTAAAATAATTGTTTAAATAAATTTATTGTTAAAATAATCACAACATTCTTAAAGATAAGGGTTACTTTTAATTTATAATTCAATCACATTTTGTTAATTGGAAAAAAAAAACTTCAAAACTAATTAAAAATATAAAAGTTCTTATTGTTTTTTTTATAAGTGGATAAGTTCCTATTCCAAGTACATTATGTAAATAATTTTGAGGCACAATTTTCAATACGAAATTGAAATCGCAATAATATCCAAAAAAATACCAAATATTTTGTCTTTTTTATAATTAAAATCTAGTTCGAGAGCATATTGTGTCCCTTTTTTAAATCAATGTTTTAATATTCAATTGCAATTGCATAAACATACATACATGCAATCTACATATATGCAATTTTGCATTCTAAATAACCACTAAGTATTCTATTTTATAAATATTTATACATATGTATATATGTATAGATATTTATAAAAAAACATATGATTAATAAAATATTTTTGAAAACAATACAAACCAACAAAAACAAAACAATATTTTCAATTAAGTTAAAAATTACAAAACAAAATAAATACCTGTTGATTTTATTGTCGAAATTGGTAAACCCGGCATTTTAATTAAATTATGCGATTTAATTAATAAAGATAACATTCCCCAAAAAAGCCTATTTAAATACTAAACATTTTAAAAATCAAAATTAAAGAAAGCAAAAAAAAAATAAAATAATTTTTGTCTCACCTGTCTAAAATACAATTTAGGTACATTGCCACAATACAAATAATATTTTCTTCTATTTTGTTTTTGTTGTTTTTAATATGACATGACTTCATAAATTTCATTAAATTCCAACAATTTCTGTTTCATTTTCAAATAATTTCATTTTTATATTTTACAGAAATTTCAAATAAATTTTCTAATGTTTACAAATTTCCCACCTTTCATAATAGACAATAATAAGAAACAAATGAGAAGGAAAATATTTTTAATGTTTATAAAAAGTTTCACAAATAACATTTACGATATAAATTGGTAATTGCTTTAATTTCAAAAAATAAAGAGAAGCAAAAGAAATACAAAATTAAACTTACATAAATTGAAAAACTAAAATTAATATTAATAGAGATTTCATTAAACATACTGCAAAACAATGACTGCAAAACGTAATACTGCAAGAACATATAAATATGCAATATATTTTTAAACATTCTATAAAATTAAAGCTGTTATTTTTATGAATAAACTACATATCGTAATGAAAAGGCCTAATTATATATGCCAGGATTCAGTTAAAAATCTTCCCGGTTCTTCAAATATTTCTCACTTTAAAAAACAATGCCGATACCGACTCATTCAATTTAACATTATCGTAACTTTAGATTATAAATTTAAAAAAAAAGCACTTCTTTTGGAAATCCCATTTCCATTGTAAAAATAAATAAATAAGGTTAAAGAAGAAATCTGGTTTTTTAAATTTACATTTTTAAAAACAATCAAGCTTTTATAAGGTAAGTAGATAATATAAGAAAACAGGTAAGTAAAAGTAGTAAGACACAAAAAAATTCTTACCTTTTACTGGTGTCTTAATAATTTGTTGAAGGCCATTTGTTACCTTACGATGTTTTGCAAAATGTAAATAATCTGGTTTTCTTTCTGGCCTAAAAAAAATTCAAATTTAAATATTTTAATTAAATTTATTGAAAATAAATATAGAAATTATGCCATATATGTAGGTACATACATAATATTATGTAGATAGGGGGATAGATTCAAATAGTTTAATCACCATACCATCAAAAATAGACACCATCAGAAAATCGTTTTCCATTAACAATAAATCTAATAGTCATTTTCACTACTGGATCCCACATTTGCACTTAGATATTTTCATTTAAAAATAATTAGCAACTATCGTTTAACCACCGCTTCTCTCAAAATTCACAATCAAATCAAATACATATATAAAGTTACGTGTATATATACAAACATATGTATAGATGTATATGGGTATATATTCTGGTTTATCTACCTACATCTGAACTAATTCTTGCTTCTGACTACAGTACATTATATGGATGATCATAAATCTTATGTGCTAAACAAAATAATTTCTATCTCAACAAAAAAACTTACCTTCTTTTTAAAGCATTCATTTCATCACAGCTTTCTACCAAATCATCCATTCCTGTGTGATTATCCATCTCTAAGGAGAAAATTTCCTTAATTCATTTATTTTTTTCATAAATTAAAAGCTGAACAATTTTGAAAGAATTCACCGCGAAATTTTTGTTGTTTTTAATAGATTTGTAGCAAAATTTTAAATTGAATTACAAACAAACATACAAATGAATTTTTTTATATTAATATATTTTGACATTTGAAAATTTCAAAAATTATGCTTGTTGGTACCCCTTATTTTAGTTGTCTATTTTTTCTTGAATATTATATACTTATTAAGCGACATCTGTTGTTCATTTATGTAGACTCCTTCTTTATACAGTAATATGTAGTTGCAAACGTTTTCACTTGAATTAGTTTCTCTATTTTTGCGAATAATAATAATTATGTACCTTTTGAAAGGGAAATAATTTATTTCAACTCAATTTTTAATTTTGCTTATTTTTTTAATACTTATTCACAATAGAAATTCAGTTCTTCAAAGTGAACAGAATCGTTGAAGAATGAGCATACTTAAAAATAAAAATAAGTTAAGAAAAATTAATATAATGAAGAAAATTTATTTTGTGTCGTAGTTTTTGAAGTAATTTCCAATGGTAATAACAATTTGTGCACTTCTAACTCTAAGTATGTACATAAATACAAATGTAGATATATATACGTAAGAACTGTTAGATATGAAGATGAAGGAATGAGACTGAGAACTGAGAAATCTAATAAAATACAACTGAAATAAATAAATTAAAAATAGTTAAAATTTAATTTATTGATATAGAATAGTAAAAAATTCAACAACAACTGTGATGATTTATTAAAAATTGAAAAAAAACATAAAAAATTAACTTATAAAATATTTAGGTAAAAATTATTGAAATGCATTGAAATATTTTGATTTCTGTTATTTTCATTATGCTTTTGAATTATTTAAAGCAATAACACCTTTGTCTTGTGTCAATAATGTAACAAAATTGTTTAAATGTTTAACACGTAATTTACCCCAAACTAAATAATTTCTCATTCCAATAATTTGTGCTGCATGTAAAGCTGCTGCTTCTGGATATCTAACTGTTACACATCCTAAACCAGATGGTACATTAATGCTAGACCATAAATCCTGTTCAACATTATCATTTTTAACTGGTGGACAATTAATCACCGGATATGTTGTATTTCCGGATAAAACTGGTCCTAAACCATTCGAACGACCAGCTACAGCAATAAAAATCAATTGACTTACAGTCCCTTCATATTCATGCATAATTTTTAATGTTTCTTCAGTTGCTTTATGAGCCGATGAAACTCTCATATGTGCTTTTAAACCCAATTTTTGACAATGTTTAACAATCTCTTGACAATGTTCTTTATCAGATCCACTTCCCATTATAACGACAACTAAATGATCATCACCTTTCGGTATTATTTCATTTAATTGTTCTGATACCCATATAAAATTTCTTTTAACTGTATCCAAATCAGATGCTGTAACTGATGATAAATTACGATAAACTTGTTTATCAACCATAAGTCGTTTATCACCGGATGGCCAAAGGCGCCATGAATCAGAATCAATGATATCAGCAAGTAATATGTTGCCTTTATAGAATATAAATTTAATAATATTATTAATAATTTAAAAATATTTTATTACCGTTAGTGTCAACACCAAATTCAATTTTCATATCAATCAAAGCACAATTCCGGGTATCCCACATTTTCTCTAAAACTTCAAAAACTACAAGAGCTGTTTTTTTCATCAAGTCGACCTCATGTTGACCTAAAATATTGAATAAGTGTTACTAAATGTTAAAAAAATATTATTTAAATTTAAAACTAATATTTTTCTACAAAAATTTCCGAGTTCCTAAAATATAGAATCATAGAAGTAAGATGATTTTAATAGAGTTATTACAAATTTATGAGGAACATACATTTAATAGTTAAAATTACAATTTGAACTTTATTGGATATAGAAAATTTCATAGTGCATATTTTAAAATAAATAAAAATAGGAAAAAAAAGCGTCCAAATATTTCGGTAGGCTATGGTTCGATAGTCTTATTAATTAATATTTAAATTATTAAAATCTACAGGAAAATTTTAGAGGATTTGGTAAATTTTTTAGAGGATCTAATTTTAAAAATTGGCTGTGATATATGTAGTGTTTGAATACACAATATTCAATACATCATAAACCAAATTGTGTAGCAATACTATAACATGTTAAGCATGCCCTATAGAAGTTATAATATAAAATAGTTAGTAAAATAAATTAGTATAGAAAAGATTAGAAAATAATGGACGCGATTACCAAAATGTCTTTCATTTATATTAGAACGTACAGTTACCAAAGCTACTAAAAAATTCATAATTTCTTGATAATTTTTCTCACTGATTCCGACTAAAAATTGACTTTATTGTAAGTTGGCAAAAAAAAAAACAAAAAAAACTAAATGACTTTACATGAAAATGGAAAAAAAAAATTATTTTGCAAAAATTTTAATTTATAATTTTGATTACACATATTAAAATTTAGGTCATAAATTTGAATAATCTCTTGTGCTATATTAGAAAATCGTATTCGTATACCAATAATAATCAAACACTTACCAATTAATAATCCATTATATTTAAATTTAGCTGATATTATTTGTTCATCAGACCATTGGGGGTCATGATTAGCGTCATCTTTAAAAAATGTTTCTTGTTTTGGTGGTGTAAATCTAAAAATAAATAATAAAATTTTCATATGTAATCAAAAATCAATAAACAATTATTATCAAATTAAATTCAATTTAAAAAAAAAAAAAAACAAAAAATTTATTTGTATTTTACAAAATTAATAAAAATATTTTTGTTTATTTAATTTTTATAATCTTATTTATTTGTTTTTATTTTATTTTTTCCTCAAATTAACATAATGCAATTAATTTTTCATTTTATATATGTGATAACAATGAATAACAAAATAAAATGTTGATTACGAAGGGTTAAAAAGGGTATTTATTAATTTTTGAAAAAAAAATCTCTATATGCATAAATAATAAATATGAATTTTTTTTATTTTTATAAAATATTTAACTTTTAATTATTTTTAATGCATTATGCTAAATAATCATAAATATATTAAATTTTCATTGATTTAATACTGAATTTTTAATTTAATTTACTAAAATTGATAACTGGAAATATTTATTTATATAGAATAATAAAAAGGCATAGAACAATATACACTTATAATGATGCAATAATTATTATTTCGAAGATCAGCTAGAGCTATATTTAGGTACATGTATTTAAAAATCAACTGCATAATGCCTTATCCTTAAAATTGTAATCATTTTAAATTACGATATAGTGATTAGAACCAAATAAAATATTTATTTACAAAAAAAAAAATAAAAGAAAACATTTCATTAGAAGATTTTTTAAAAATTAATTGCCGTAGGCACACAATGATATTGAAATATTTGAACTTCTTGCGTTTAAAATTACGAATAATAAATTCGTTAGCATCTATATGTAATTGTTATTCATTTATTATCAAATTATAATGGTAAAGATAAGTGTTAATTAAAAACATGGTAAGGTATAGAAGAACCAATAATAAATTTTGAAAAATATACAACATACTTATTTTTAAGCTATGATTATTAAAACAGCAATGAAAATTAAATTCAATGCTTCATAAAGAACAACAGGAATTTTAATATTAATTAATAAATAAATAAATGAAAAGCAAGATAATTTCTAAGCAATTTTTTTAAAATTAATAAAAACATAATTAAATTTCTTAAATATTAACATCATGAAATTGTAAATGAGTAGTTCTATAATACGGCAATATTATTATATTTAAAATTAATTTTAACCATAATTTCTTCAATTTCTTTTTTAATTATTATATTAGCAACAATTAAAAGAAACTCATAAGGTTCCTTATCAATTTTTTTTTAAGTTTTCTCAATATATATGTTTATAGAGAACTCTGTTGTGAAGTAATTTATGGCCTAATTAAAATTTGTATTTATTATCTATCTTTAAGACATTGACATTTTCTATATATTATCAGCATCTTTTCAAAAACAAAAAAAAAATGATTCATCTTATATTTTTTTAAAAATTAACAATAATTCCTTTTCATTTATACAATTCGAATTTCATAAATGTCGAGCTTTATCAATTTCATTATCATTTAAAATTTCCATTTGAAGATTTTCTATAAAAAAAAGACAAAATAAATAATAAAATATATAATCTAAACTTATACTAGATTTACTTTTAGTATGTATCTGATCCTAATTATACTAGGGTACTACACGAATTAATTATACTTAAGGAAACTTATTAAACGATAGCTATAATCACTGATTAATTAGTAATTCATTAAACACTATAATTATACCTAAATCCTTCTGGAACACCTGGATTTCTTTTTAAAAATGATCCAGTTGCTAAACGTCTAGCGACCCATTCAATTGGTATCATATCGCATTTTTTTGCTATAAAGGCATTTGAACTCGCTTCCTTAACATAAGCCGTTTGAATACCTTCAAGAAAAAAATAATAATAATAAAAATTTCTATTATACTGTTAAAAATTTATAATATTTCTATACATAAATATATATAGATTAAAATTTTAATTTATGCTATATAGAAAAAGAATAATAAAAAAAATATGTGTGTAGTGTATCAAAAAATTTTAATATAAAATATTTAAATGAACATACCAACAGAATTTAAAACTTGAAATACTTTTCCATTTGTTTGATTAGAGATTTCCGCTTTTCCAGCTAAATCATGAGCTTTAACACCATCACCAGCAGTTATACGATCTTTACTTAATAATAAACATAAGCCGGGATGATCTGGTAAATCAAAAACTTGTTTTGTTTTGCCTTCAATTATAATTTTTCCCAATTTATAATCTCCAACTTAATTTCAAATAAATCAAAAATATTTCAATTTAATATTAATAATCACATACTTATTTTGAATAATTATTATTTTATGTTTTTATTTAAAATATTAATGCTATAAAGCTATACGCATAATATATTTATAATTATATACCTTTGGTAGCCATTTTAAAAAATCAATTTCTCTTAAGATCTTCTTTCCAAATTTAATTTAAAGATATACTTGAATAATAAAAATTTCAATTACGATATTATTAGATAAAAATACACGTTGTTTTTAATGTGTTAATCAAATATTTTTATATAAAGAGTAGAATTTCTTGAGATCACCTCCTTGATCTTGAATTATATGTAACCAGCTCAAAGAAACACGTTGTACTAAATTTTAAATATATTTGTATACATTTTATATAGTAAACAAATTACATATATACATATATAAGAGAATATAAATTACTCAATTTGTGGAATTAAATAAACTGAGAAATTTAGGGAAATTTAAATTTTTATTTATGTATTGAGTTTACAGTAAAACTTGTTATGATTATTGAACAGGGCAGGATTTTTAAACGAATTGAGCTTAATAGATTAAAATGGAATAAAAGATTACAATAATAATTTACAATAATAATTATGATCTTGAATTGAATGATTAGTGAATATAAAAAATTTGATGAACATTAAGTAACTGAATATTGAGTACTGAACTCTGTCGAATATTATTTTTAATATTCGAATTTCATAAACGATATTACAAATTCGTTCACATTTAAATAACCGTCCTCTATTGCTATAAATTAGAACTTAATCCACGTCACCTAAATTAATTCGAATTTTAAAAATGATATTTCAAATTATAAACCTAAAACCTTAAAAATGTTGTTCATATAATTTCAAATGAAAATTTTTCATAGAAAGTACCTTCTTTCTTGGAATTAAAGTTTCCACGTTAACAAACAGTATACTAAACTCAGTCTCAAAAAATCAAATTTTCCTCAAGTGCGGCTCTGATGTTACATATTATTAATAACCCTTATTTCTACTTTATTCCTTATTCTTGATAATATTGATGAAAATAATAAAAGAATAAAAAGAAAATTCACAGTTTATAATGAATTTTATACATTTATAGATTTTATACATTTACGTTAGGCATTTAACGTAGTAATTAGACGTTAGTGTGGTTAATTAAAATTACCTACAAATTTTCTTCAGTACAGATGTACATAAATACATAATTTTATATAAAACACAAACATGTATAAGTAAATGAAGAGCTTCAATCAATTAACATAAAACCCCACTTTTTATTATCAATTTTTTATAGCATTTTGACATAATATTTTCTTTTCTTTTTTGTCTCAAAACCAAGTTATTTATATTTAGTGCTTATAAAAATACTTTCGTTGTCCAACTAATTTTTTATGTGAAAAAAATGCATTAATTATTACTTTCTGGTTATTTTAAAGTAATGAAATAAATAAATTCAATGAAAGTTAAAAAATTCAATAATTTAATAGTGCCTACTTACATAATATAAATGTGTCATACTGTGTGTCTACTTAAATGCAAATCTAAAATCAATTGAAACATATTCATTATAATAATTATTATATAACAGTAGTATAACAGTTTATAAACAATTTAGTATAACAGTTTATTTCAAAATTTAAATTGCATAATTTTAGGTACAAAATTTTTTGAAAATTCTGTAAAATTGAATTTTTGCAAGAATTTATTCAATTATATTGTGACGGATAAAAGTAAATAACAGAAGAAATTTCTGTATATTACCTTTGAATTCTCAAATAAAATTTTATTTCCCTATTATGGGAAATAGGATACCTTATTTGAATTACTGTGGATCATTTTAACGATTGAAAAATATGATCTTATTGGAGTTATATAGCATTATTTATACATACATCTTAACATTTATATTGCAGTAAAATGAAATGAAATACAGTAGAGTAAAATAAGTGAGAGAAAAAGAGCAAATTAAAATTCATTTAAAAAATCTATTTATTTTTTTCTTATTTTATAGATATTTTTTTTCTCTCTAGCACAATATACAAATACAATCCTCGGTAAACTCTTTTTCTAAACAGATTTAAAGAGAATGTGCACATACAATGTGCACACACAAACATAATACATATTAAATATAGAGAGACTTAAAAATGAGATTTTTTTTTTTTTAAAAAGCGTATCTCATCTCACATTCACATTTCATATATAATTAGTTTATGGGAAACTAAAATAAATTCAGTCTAGTTTTAGATTTTATCAAAGTAAAATATATTTAAAATAAAATTCGAATTAAATTCGAAATTATAAATAAATTAATATTTTTTTTTTATTTTATAATATTAAATAAGTGCATATATAATAATTGTACATATATAGGTTGTACTTATTAATTAAAATTTAAATTTGAATAAAGAAAAAAATTAAATTATATTTTTTTTTTTTTTAAATCTAATTGTATACCAGTTTAGTGTATAAAAAGGCGGGATATTATTAATTATAGTTTTTATGACTAAAAGACAATAATTTAGTTAAAAAATTTTTAATTGTTGCACACACAACAATTATTGTTTTTGATTATATATTCAATTTTATTATGTAAATAATAATTGTATGTACATTGTTATACATACATATTTATATTTATTAAAATACTCAATTATATGTTGTACTGTATATAAAAACTTTATGAATTGAAAGTAAAAAAATTTATTGAATTTCACTAAAAGTTTACTAGCTACCACGTGCTTGTAAGTAAGTATGTATATATATATATATATATATATAAAATTATTAATTTAAGAAAAAGCATTTCATCTTGTCTTTTTTTTTATTTTCTTATATTTTTATACATAATAATCAATATATTTATATGTACATAAATAATAATTTTCTTTGGATAGTGACAGACAAGAAACAAGTTTGAATTTTTTTCTTCTTTACTTTTTTTTTTTTTTGTTTTGTTTTGTATTAGGCACTTTTTACGATTTAAGACTGAAGAATCTACAAATAAAAAATTTTTTTTTCCTTATTATTGTTGTTGTTGATGATACTTCATTTGGCATGACAATCAATATAGATTTACGCTAACAAAAAAAAAAAAAAATAGTAAAAATTCTAACTGGTTTTCATTTTTCACAAAAAAAAATTCTAAATTTTATTCGTATAATTAATTATTTTCGAAATAAATAATAAACAAAAATTTAATTTAATAAAAAAAATTACTTCAAAAATATTAAGAAAATTTAAAAAGTAATTTAAATTTATTCAAAAGTAGCTGTCATTAAAATTTTTTTTTATTATGGTGCAAACTTTGTTTTGAATTTTAAAATGATGTTACAAAAATATATATATATATATATATATATTCTCAATCAAATTGTACTTGTATGTTATTTGCGATTCCAATGGTGTGTATATACACAGGCGGCTTCACTCCCAAGAATTCCGTAATACCACAGACATCTTTATTCTCACATTATAGAAGTTTAAGGTACATAACATTACTTATATAGGCTAAAGTGAATTTACAGGTACGAGTATATAATATTGAGTAACAAGTGAAATAGTATGCCATTAAGCAAATAAGACAATAAATGAAAGAGATTGTGTATGGGATGTTTTTGATTCTGCTAAATTGAACATTGATTTTAATATACTTTAAAATACGAAAACAAAAAAGTATATTGGGAAAATTCATTATGTTACGAGTTTTTCATATAAGAAAAAAAGTTTGTATATTTTTCAAACTAGTCACTCTTTATATTATATCACATCTCTTTTATCTCTTTTATTTAAATCGTCAACATTAATACCTCTCAACACCTCTACAGTATTTCTTCTCTTTTAAGTAAATTTGATGCATTTTTAAATTAAAAAACAAAAATAAATTGATTGCAACAATTATATTAAAAAAACAATTTTTTTGTTTTTAAAAAAAAAAATGTTCAACAATTATTATTTAGGTGAAAATGTCTAAGACTATTTTCTTAATATTGTATAACAAATTCAATTGAAATATTCGATATTACTCAAAAAATTAGCTCATATAATTACCTGAAATTATAACCATATTTATGTATATATTTTGATAAATTAGAATTTTATCTTAAATTGTTTACAATCTATAAAAAATTTTTTACCTTAAATTATGATTGATAATAAAATTTTTCCAGTAACATAAATTTATATGTCTTATTAAATAGAATTCTTATAAATATGAAAAAAATGAATGGAATGCTCATAGGTATAACCATCTAAAATTTCTTATAAATGTTTACGTTGCAAATGATAAAATTTTTTTTATTGTTTATGTTGATACCTATATTGATAGAATAAAATGACAGGAAATAGTTTTCTATGCGAAATTGTCATCTATAAAATATTTTTAATTTGAATAATAAATAAATAAAAATATTTTATTAATTTTCTAAATTATCAACTATATATATTAATTGTTAGCAATTAATTGATTAATAATTTAAATAATTTAAATAAAGTAATTAAATAACAATTATTTATTACATGAAATAAGTACTTACCTATATTTAACTGTTATTAAAAAATATTTGAACCTATATACTTGTTAAACAAGTTTTGAATGAAGAAAATATTCAATTTCATTCACATATTTTCGATTAATTAAAAATTATTTTGATCCAATTTATTTATAAACCTACAATGAAGAATATGATTTAATATTTGCATATTTTGAAAATTGATTTAATATTTGCATATTTTGCTTAATTCATTTAAAAAAAAATAACATGACATCTTTTCACCTAACACAAAAAAAAATTTTTTTTTTTTTGTTTACTTATTTGTTTTTAAAAACTTCCCACTCAACATTGCATTATAAAATTTGATAAATAATACATATACGATAACGTTTGATTATTGTGAATTGGGATAACTCAAAAAATTTAATTTTCTAATTAAATGTGATAATTTCTACAGGATTTAATGTAGAATAAGAAAGATAAAAAGAATAAGAATTAGGATTTGCCTTATTAGATTTTTCGTACGTTAGAAGATTTCATTTAAGAAATTTTATTATAAAAAAAAAATAAATTTGGATAGCATAATTTAAAATGCATCTATAATTGATTTTTTTATAACTTGAAAAAAAAAAAAAACTTTTAATCGCTATTGTGAATATTAACGAATTTTCACTTATCACAGTTTCATTTTAATTGGACAAATATTGGTGTAGATTAGAGTATGAAAATTTTTATTAGTTACTTTATGTTAATTCGTATTAAATATAACGTTCGTACATATGTTTAAATGTTATATGTATAATATATATAAGAATTTTTATATCTGTTATACAAACGCCTATTATATTACAATGTTTTTATATACAATTATTTAGTTTATATATTAAGATATTAGAAACACCTGAACACCTGAACACCTTTTTCAAAATAATAAGTTATCGTAAAATTTTAAAAAAATTTTTTAAAAATGTGTAAATAATATTTGTGTGGATGGTTTACTATTACAACAACCTTGTTCCAAAAGTTTGAATTAATTAATTTTTTTTTTTTTTTGTGGTTCTCTTTTTCTTGTTTATTATTTGTAAACATTTCTATTCATTCATAATAAACAAATTCCATTCAGTTTTATAAAATTGCATAAAAAAAAAATAAAAATTATTAGAGCAAAAATCGTCCTCAAATTCATTTTACAGTTATACACAGAATTTAATGTCTGCTCAAAATTTACTAAATGTGTGCATATTTAAAATTACGTTTTCTTAAATAATTACCACCAATACAAAAAGCAATCATTTTATAATCAATTATTTTATTGCAATTCATTTAATCACATCAAACTTTGATAATCCTTCAATATTATTATTTATTGCATCTCATTACTTATCGCAAAAATGACAAAAATAATGCAGCGAAAATAATTTTAAAAAAATTTTTGATTGAAAAACAAAAACAAAAGTTAATGACATAAAAAGAATTCAAGATTAATAATATTATTTTTTATTTTACAATTTAAATAAATTATTAATTAATTAATTAATTTCTCATTTAATCAATATAATATTGATTTACTTGACCGAAAATAGAAATTTTATTTTTGCAATAATTATTATTGATGATAATTAAGAAGATGCGTAACAATTAACTTTAGCTACTTTAGTTATTGACCTTAATAAAAATATTTTGATTTTGATAATATATCAAAGATTATTGGACGAAGATCTATATCCATAGATTAAACTTACATAATATGATAATTAAAATTGCGTTGACATTACTTGATATTATGCTGTATTACTTTCAAATAAATTAAAAATAATATTACGTACAATATGCAAAAGCAAAGAGAATATTTGTATAATTAAAAAAGGATATCCCTTACGATAAAAGCAATCGTTATTATAAGTAAGAACGATTAATAATGAGGATACAACGACCGTCATTGCATTCTGCAAAAATTTCCTGCGTTTAAAAGACGCCAGTTGTAGGTTCCAATGACTAAAAATTTTTTATTCAACAACAAAATAAATTATTAAAATTCTGAGAGATTTATATTTTTTTTCCAAAATCGAAATATCAAAGACAAAAGAATAACGCATATAGATATGTAGGAGTATGTATATGCGTTATTATTTTTTCTATTTAAATCATACTCCATATTCAACTAACGTATGTACGCAATTACGATACCGACGTACGAGTATCATTAATTATGCTATCATTTAAAATTTTCCACTTAATTTTCACTTCTAAATTTCCATTGAGTACTTTAAACTGAAAAATATGTGTATGTAATATATGTTTATGCATATGTATATACATATAGATGATACCTTATTTACATATTCACATAAATATGTAGTCTTAGTTTAAAAATAATAATAACTTATTCTTAGTTTATGAACTCTCAATTTAATCAGATTAAAAAAAAATATTATTGAAATTTCAAATTGATAAGATTTATTGTTTTTGTTTATAATTAAATATAGAATGCATTTAAATTGAAAAATGTAACACTGATGCAATTATCTTGTTCTATTACAGTTTTTGTATTTATAAATAAATAAACTGCAACTACATAATATTATAATTACATTACACATATAGAATTCAAAAATTAAACAATGAATGAAGGAAATTTAAATAATTGTTGTCCTGAAAACAAATGTTCATGCACAGAAAAATGTTTTCAAACGAAAAATGATAATATAAATAAATTTAAAAAAACTCCATTGGATCTATCAAAAGAAGTTACTGGTTTAACTCATGAATGTGGTGTCTTTGGAGCTATAGCATGTGGTGATTGGCCACCACAATTAGATATACCACAAATTATTTGTTTAGGATTAGTTGCATTACAACATAGAGGACAAGAATCAGCTGGTATTGTAACAAGTGAAGGAAAATGTTCGAAAAATTTCAATGTTTTAAAAGGAATGGGAATGATAAATAATATATTTACCGATGATTCAATGAAAAAATTAAAAGGTAATTTAGGTATTGGACATACAAGATATTCAACATCAGCTGCATCAGAGGTTGTAAATTGTCAGCCATTTGTAGTACATACTGCACATGGTGCATTAGCAATAGCTCATAATGGTGAATTAGTTAATTGTGAAAGTTTAAGAAAAAATGTTTTAGCAAGAGGAGTTGGTTTATCAACACACAGCGATTCTGAATTAATTACTCAATCATTGTGTTTAAATCCACCTGATGGTGAGGTAAATATGAGAATATTCAGTTAAATTAGTTTTTTTATTTTGAAAATTCAATTTTTTACGTAAAATATTTTTCTTTATAGAAAAATGGACCTGACTGGCCAGCAAGAATTAGAAATTTTATGAAACTTGCACCACTCTCATATTCGTTAGTAATAATGCTGAAAGATAAAATTTATGGAGTGCGCGATCCTTATGGAAATAGACCGTTATGCATAGGGAAAATTGTACCTATCTCATTAGGAAACGGTAAAAATTAAAAAAAAATATATAGATTTTTAAATTTTAATTTTTGTTTTTTACAAATAACTCTGTAGCAAATCCATCCGAAGCTCCAGCGGAAGGTTGGGTAATATCTAGTGAAAGTTGTGGTTTCTTATCAATTGGGGCGCGATATGAAAGAGAAGTTGAGCCAGGAGAAATAGTTGAAATGACGCGGCATGGTATACGTACTATTGATATTGTTGAACGCCCGGAAGATAAGAAACAAGCATTTTGTATATTTGAATATGTTTATTTTGCCCGAAGCGATTCGCTCTTTGAAGGTCAAATGGTTTATTCAGTACGTTTGCAATGTGGAAAACAATTAGCTATAGAGGCTCCCGTGGATGCTGATATTGTAAGTTCAGTCCCAGAATCTGGAACAGCTGCTGCACATGGTTACGCAAGACAGGTTTGTTGATTGAAAAAAAATTTAATATCTATCTACATATATGTATATATATGTATGTATATTATTTTGAAGTTTTACAAATTGTTGGCTCAAAAATATATAAATTGTTTTTCGTATCTTTTTACAATTTTATAGTCCGGTTTACATTTTGCTGAAGTTTTATGTAAAAATCGTTACGTTGGTCGAACATTTATTCAACCATCGACAAGATTAAGACAATTGGGTGTTGCAAAAAAATTTGGTGCTTTATCAGAAAACGTTGAAGGCAAAAGATTGGTTTTAATAGATGATTCTATTGTAAGAGGTAAAAATTGCATTGTTACATATTTTTATCGAAAATTAGTTTTTAAGTAGCTAAATTGAAATTTGACTTTACATAAAGGCAATACTATTGGTCCTATTATAAAGTTATTAAGAGATGCTGGAGCAAAAGAAGTGCATATCCGAATTGCAAGTCCACCATTGCAATATCCATGTTACATGGGCATCAATATTCCAACAAGAGAGGAACTTATTGCAAATAAATTGAAAAGTAAGCAACTCGCTGAACTTGTAGGAGCTGATAGTTTGGCATACTTAAGTGTAGAAGGTTTAGTTAAAGCTGTTAAATTAAATCGAAATCATTCAATACCCGAACAGGCTGGTTATTGTACTGCATGTCTAACTGGTGAATATCCAGGTGGATTGCCTGAAGAACTTAGTTGGTAGCAAATTAAAAACAATTTAAAATAAACTTATTTACATATAATCATTCATTGATTTTATAATGAATTTATATACTTACATACATACAAGCTTCCAATATTGAAATTTTAGCGGAACAAATAATTATTGTTAAAAAGGCTTCCATAAAATAATATGGTTCAATTTACGTTATATGTACAAAAAAAACGTTCTAATCTCAGTAAACCTGCTTACTTAGATACAAATATGTATACATATGTATGTATGTATATGCACTAGATTTTAGATTTTTATATAAAAAACTTGTATATTGTATAAAAAGGAAAATAAATAATTGAAATAAACATTTTATAAGAGTTATAAAAGTACTTTTACTTCAGTGTGCAAATTAGTCTTCTATAACATTTTTGCCTTTGAAATGTGTTTTACATTTTTCATTCATTAAAATACTGAATAAAACTAACTTAACGCTTACAGAATTTACAAACAAATCCAATTTATTTAACCTAATTTGCAAACTTCAAAATTGCGGTAATTGTAAATGGTAACTAAATTAAAAAAAGCAAGTTGATTTGGGTATAAATACCGCATTTCTGCGTTTTTGAAGTCAGGTCAAATCATATTGTTGTTGACGTAAATCTGCCTTTTATCAAAGTTTTTATTAAAAAATTCATGTAAGTAATGAAAAAGCAATTAAAAAGCTAAATAGACGCGGTATGCGGAAGGCTACTGTCAAAAAAATTGTGTTACATATGAATATTACAATTTATATTAATGTGCGCCATTTAAATGTTTATTTCAATGTTGCAACCGCAGCAGATTCCAATTTCCAATTTCAATAATGAGTTAGAGAAAGTAAATTACTTTTAGTGTTTTCGACGTTTTATACCGCGTTGCAACGCATTAATTTTGGAAGCATTTTATTTAAACATGTTTACAAATGAATTCCCAATCAAAATTTCACATAATTACATCTAATCTCTCAAACCCTCATGTTTTCTTGTGGAATTAACAGAACTAAACCACCTTCCCAAAGAATAGTTAAAAATTTGAATCGTTTAAATTTAACAATTGAAGGTGCTGGCTGTGAAATGAGTACACATAAATCTTGTAGACAAACTAATTTTAATAGGTTGGAGTAAACTTGATCTCTAGTCCATTTTGCATTGTTTAGTTCATTTTCCGCAAAAAAAATTATAATTTGGTAATTCATACAGTTTTGACAATTCATTTTTTTTGGTAAAAGTAAGAATATAAGAAATGAAACTCCAAAAACAAATTCCTTGAAAATATGTTATACATATATATGAACGAAATTTGAAACTGTAATAAAAACAAACACCTTGTCTACGATGATTGGATTTGTCTAAAATTTTCGTTTTATTTTCAGAAAAAAAGGAAAACATTTTTTATAGTTCATAGATCTATTATAAATCTGTAAATAATCAATTTGATGACACATGTAAACGGAGTAATTGTCAATTTCGATAAAAACGTCATTTTTGACAATTCTAGGAAATTTTCTACAGAATCTGTTAAGAAATGAGAAAATGATTTTTCTGTCGAGTGTCGTTGTTCAAAAAATTTTTTAGTCGGATGGTCTGAAAAACTCACTGTTGGAGTTAGTTCTGAGAAATATATAAGAAATTTAGTTATTTTTTTCAATTTTGTTTTGAAAATTTTAATATTTTTTTTTTTAAATTGTTATTTGAAACTCTCAAGAAAAATTTTTCAACTAGAATAAAATGGCTTTAAATCCGCAATATGAAGAAATTGGAAAAGGATTTGTTCAACAGTACTATGCAATTTTCGATGACCCAAATCAGCGACCAAATTTAGTAAATTTATACAGCGTAAGTAAATGAAAATCAAAAATTAATATTCTTACTAAATAAAAGTAATTGGAGCTATTTCCAAATATTAAATTTAATTCGGCTTTTGAGGTACAGTAGCTTTAAGCTACATAACCTTAAAATGTTAAAACTAGGAGTTTTTTTTAGAAAAAAAAAGAGTTTGATCCAGCATAGGCAGCAAAAATAAAGGGACGCTTATTCTTTTGAACATTTAAGCATTTTCTTTCAAAACAGGAAGTATGTGTATATTTCATAAAGTTGTTTTTTATATTTCAAAAAAAAAAATTTCCAATTTAGTTATTTTAAATATATGTAAATATGTACCCATTTATTTTTAACATATTTAAGATAATACATATGTGTGTACCTACATATGTATTTGCATTAAAAAAAAATTTAATAGATAATTTATTATTTTGACGAAATTAATGATACTGTTTCAAATTCATTAAGAAATATTATGGAAGTTTCCAGATATGCAAATAAGAGTAATATATACCAAAATAAATGATGAGTCATAACCCGTAACCCAAAGGACAAACATTTTTAAAACCAAGAATCTTATTACTAATATTGTTGAAAAGTTTGATATATTTTAAGAAGAATTATGTTTGAATCTTGAATGTAAAATAAATTAAACTTCCAACAATTTGTTAAAATACGCGACCCAAGGTGAATGGGAAAGTTTATAGGAAGTGTTTCTATGGAAATATTTATTGATTCATCTTTTTATTTTTGCATATTGCTTTTAATCATAGGCCGGTTAAGCTAAATAGTAATTTAATTCTGATAACATAATGCTGAGATCAAAGAATCAATATTCAGATTATTATTGGAAAACTATTTAATAATGGAACTACTATTACTATTATGTAAATAACCTACATACATACATGTGATTACCTTTTCTTAATTAAACCATCAATAATCTCTTGAATTAAATTTCATTTTTCATATAGATAATTGTATACATTTTTAGGCAAATGACTCCTTTATGACATTTGAAGGTCAACAATTACAAGGGGCGGTCAAAATTATGGAAAAAATAACGGTAACATTTTTGAAATTTATTTGTAACTTTGCAATGGTTTAAAACGACAAATTTTTCTTTTTATATTTTAGAGTTTATCATTTCAAAAAATATCTAGAGTATTGACTGCAGTTGATTCCCAACCAACTTTTGATGGAGGTGTTTTAATAAATGTTTTAGGTAGACTTCAAGTAAGTTAATTAATATAATATTTAAATACAAAAAAAATTATCACTTATCTTTGTTTTATTTTTAAATTGTATTGTAATATACATATATATAAAAGATGAAAAGTTTTTTAATATTTTTCTATCTTAAATATATATAAATTGTTTTTATTATTGTTTTCTTTTTTTTTTCATTTTTAACTCCTCAGACAGATGAAGACCAACCACATGCGTATACGCAAACATTTGTTTTAAAGCCAATAGGAAATAGTTTCTTCGTACAACATGATATCTTTAGATTATCTCTACATGATCTGTAGCAGCCAATCAGTGCCAAAATTTTCTTTTTAATCTATAATTTATAAAAAAAAAAAAGAACAAAACCAAATGCTTATTTCACAGAAATGCATATTTCGCAGAAAATTTATAATATGCATATGATTTCACTTAGTTATATATAAAAAATATTTAAAAATTCAAATGAAAACTATGCGGCGGTATATTCCAATACTTACGTTTAACGTATGTAAAATATTAAATATATTTTTATTTAAATCTTATGATTTACAAATATTTTCTTGTAAAAATAAGCTTAATTCATTCTAACACTATTTTAATGTGCAAACACACGATACCTTTTTTTCGTTTTCTTATATTTTATTTTCCTTTTATGGTTTTATTTTCATTATTTTTGTTTTTAAGTTTTTTAATTTTTATTTTTTGATTCCTATTTTTTTAACTTTAAAAAATTGGAAAAATATTTGGCATTTTAGTTAACGGAAACTACTAAAACTGGTTTATTAATTGTTTTCCTAACCTTTTCCTGTGATTCATAAATACATTTAAGTTTTATTTGATAAACAAATGAAACCCTCTTATTTTTTTTTAAATAACATCTTAGTTTTAAGCCTTTACCAAAAAATATTAGTAATTTTATACAGAAATATTGACTCGCACTATTTGAGATGCGATATATTTTATTTGTCGTTCAAATTGCTTAATTTTGAATGGTACAAAACCAAATTCTGAAGATAAAAAATTTTTGGAAAAATTAGTGAATTAAATAAGTTCTAAAACCAATTTGGACAAAGCATATAGCTATAATAACATTATTAATTTTTTAATAATGTTATTATAGCTACTAATTTAATTTTAATAATGTTGTTATAGCATTGATTCTTAAATGGAATCAAAAAAATTTTAAATATTTATTAAAATTTTCATCGGGTACAATCAAATAAATTTTAATATTTTAATAATAAATAAAAAAAGTAGTTTGTACCAATGCGAGTCTTTGTTCTATTTGTTTTTTTTTTTTTTTTTGCATTATACATAATATATTTTAACAAAAATGTAGATGAAAGTATACAAATGATAATATATATATATTTTTTTTTGTTTTCAGTGCGATGATGATCCACCACATGCTTTCTCACAAATTTTCATTTTAAAACCATTAGGAGGAACATTTTTTTGTGCTCATGATATATTCCGCTTAAATATTCATGATTCTGCATGAATACTAAAAAAAGAACAACAAAATCTATTTTTAACAATAATTTGAAGAACTATAAAAAAACAGAAAGAACTCCTAACAACATAAAATTGCTGCACGAAATTAAATATAAAAAAAAAACATATTGAATTTTCCAATAAATATGACTAAAATTTTCGAATTTTTTTTGATTATCAAACTTTTATTGTTCGTCAAAACTTTTCATAAAGAAGAAACTAAAAAAATAATTAACACTAATAAATTTAAAACTGATAGAATGTAGTTAAAATGTTATTAAATTGATGAATAAGTTTTTTAATTAAAAAATATGATTTAAGAAATTAAAAAAAGTATAAAATGTATGAAACCCATTTTTTTTATTTTTTATTAAAATCTTATGTAATAGTTCTCTAGTTAACTTATGAAATTTTGTAATCAAAAAAATAAAAAAAAAAAATAAAAACAAAATTCTTGTTAAATATTTTTTAATTATTTAATATAAAAAACATTTTTTATTTATCTTAATAATATTAAAATAATAGATTTTTCAAGCTGCTTTTTTATGTTAAAATATGATAATTCTTGACATCAACTTTGATTTAAAGATTTTAAATATAAAAGAACATTAATTATAAACTCATGTGAAATATCTGTAATAAAATATAATTATATTTATAAAAAAAAAGAATCAGTGTTTTGAGTTTAATTTAAAAAAAAATCAAATAAATAAGTCAATTTAAATTCTGCTAACTTATATAGTTAGATTATAACTTAAAGGACAATAAATTAGAAAATCAAAAATTGGATTAGGTTCCAAAAAGCAAAAATAGGACAAAACAAAACAAAAAATTGATATTTTTTTCGAATTTCTATAAAAAATAAATTATAAAATTTCTTGTAAAATAGGAAAAATGTAGACTTATTTCTTTTGAGAGATTAATTCCCAAAATTGTATTGAGTTATAATCTCTAAATCAATTTAACATGGAATAATTTACATTTCTTCTACCCATGCTAAAGTTCTGATAAACTTTTTGTCACAAAAAGTTATAGGGTAAAATTAAACTAATTCAAAACAAAACAATCAACAAAGTCAGTTGAAAATGTCATTTCTTCTTGTATGCACGTAATGTATGAAACTCGAGTTGTCCATACTAATACTCACATTTACATATTTGCCCATAACCCACAAAAGTTTGGCGCATTAAATCTAAAATAAAAAAATTAAAATTAGATAGATATAGATTTTCAAATTTAATAGGGTTTGAATAATAAATAAATAAATAAATAAAAAAAAATTATTCCTGTTAATTTGTTATTTATGGTAATGACTGTTGGGAAGGCACAATGAGGATAATTATAAAAAAAGTAATCTCAATTTCTTTATTTTAACTACCATCGATTATATAAGTACCCATGTATAATCTAAACTATCAGATAGCAAAAAAAATTAAAATCTCAACAAAATATGCGGATATTGTTTAATAAATTAGGGATAGTTTATTAAATTCGATATAATTAAATAATTCGATATAAAATATATTAGAAAGTAAACCGTCTCTTAATATATATTTACTATGCTGTACATCTTTTGCTAATTTTATAATTCCGTAATTTACAAAAAAGTAATTTAATAACCTTACTTTGATTTAATAAAGTTTAATAAATTATAAAAGGGATATCTGTAAGAAGATTTAAAAATTTTTCTATTTTAAAATATTGTTATATTTTATGAGAGTTTGGATACAAAACATTCCAATAATATCAAGACGTATTAATAATCCATACAGTGCAATATTAACTTTATTTTTTTTAAAGTAGAAATATCGGGCTTTTTAAAATTCTTGTGAAATCCAATGACTTTATTACTACAATCTTCCACCTTCAATCAAAATGTAAAACTGAAAAATAAAAATAAATATTCATTTTTGCGCAAATATATTTTTTAATATAATTTATTCATGGTTTTCTTATAGAATTTTACACTCATACTTTATACTTTTTTTTTTTTTATTTTAGTAAATTGAACTTTTTTTTGTTTAACAATAATTTTTTAATTAAATACAAAAAAAAAACAAAATGTTTTAAACTCCTTTACTTGTTACAAAAAAAAACTTTTAATTTAGACGAAAATTTTTCTTTTGTAATAATAAAAAAAAAATTAAAGTCAAGCGAGGTTTTTAATTAGAAAAGATCAAACGTTACATATTTTGAGTTCCAATTAAAAGTTTTAATAAAAAATGAATATAAACCATTATTACGTCAGCCTAAAAGAATCCAGTCTCTCCATATTATAAATTTATTCATTAAATTAATTTTTTTTTTTTTTTGAAAAATTTCAAAATATTTAAATTTTAACTAAAAAAAATACATTCGAATTCTAATTTTATAACCACGATCTGGATAAATTTTCCAAAATTTTTGAAAATATTCACAGTTGGTTTTTAATCATTTTGTTCTTTTTACTATTTCTTTGGTGAACATTAAAAAAACAGAAATAGATACTTAAAAATTTTGTTTTAAATTTTACATTTTGTTTGCATTACTTACTGGTACAAAAAACTTAATAATAAAATTTCAGATTTGAATTTTTATATATATATAAATATTTTGTATTTTGATATATACATTGATATATATACATATATAAATATTTCAAAAACTAAAACTTAAAATAACTCATTTTATACAAAAGCTTGTATATCTTTTTTTTTAAATATTTTTATATGCATTTCGGAATTCGAAAAAAAAGGCGCGTTACATTTATATAATATGATTCCACTATATAATAAAAACAGAAATATTTATCAGCATTATTTAATTTTTTAATAAATTAAATTTAAACTATAAATTTGTTCTGAGACAAACCTATTATGGGTATGTTAATGTTATTAACATTTTTAAAAATACTGTTATATACAATTTCAGTTAATTTGCTAAGAAATAGTTTTTATTTATAAAATTTATTAATAAATTAAATAATTATGGTGTTTCAAAACAAAAGCAATTAAAATTATATAATGAAAAATAAAAAACAAGCTTTTGTATAAAAATAAATTTAAACAAGAGGAATCAAAATGGCCACTGAAAATATTATATTTTTTTTTATATATAGCTACGTATAAATGTATGTAAGTACAATTTGGTTTCAAGTTTCACAAATTATTTAAAATAAAATTATTATTCAAAAAAAAAAAAAAAACAAATAAGTATTAAAATCTCACAATTAATATAATTATTCATTAATATAATTTTAATAATAATAATTAATAAAATGAAATACAAACTAAAAGGGGAGTATTTTTATTTATAATTATTTCATAAATTAAAAAGACAATATAAGTTTATTATTCGATAATTATTAAAATAAAAGTTTCCTTATAAAAACATATCACATTTACAAATTTAAGAAAAAAAAAATTATTATTATTTTTACACTGTAAAAACAAATCTTATTTTAAAAGATATTTTTTTGATTAATAAAAAAAATTAAAAAAAAAAATAAAACATAAAATTGTTTTCTTTTTTTTTTCTCCTTTCCTTCTTTTGTTAACCCTTAATTAATAACTCATATGAGCCAAAAAAAAAATTTTCCTTCTTTCGTTTTTATTATAAGTTATAACTTTCTTTTGTATGAAGTTTTTTAAATTGCTAATTTTTTCATTAATTTTTTTTTTCATATTTTTTTATATTAATACATAACGCATAAATGATTAACACAAAGAAAATTATTTAATATTGTTTCTCTGGTTGATGGTATTAATGACAAAATTCATGCTTAAAAGAAATGAATCAAAAATATTTGATGAAATATATTATACATTTAAACATATTATTATATAAATATGTATTTTGTGTATATATATTTTGAAATATATATTAATACATAATTTTTAAAACCTTACATTACAATTGAAAAGGTTATTTTTTCTTGTTTTGTTTTGTTTTTTTTTTTTCTATTTCTCTTACATTTAATATTTTCTATGCTTAAAATGGCGTGAAGAAAATCCTTTCAAAGATCTCATAGCCATTGCACGGTTAAAATGCCTTTTTGGTTCAAATTCTGATTGGGAATTTGTACTTTCTGAATCAGTTGATGTTATTATAACAATAAAAACCGCAATGACCTAAAAAGAAAAAGTTAGTTCCTTAAAATAATTTCTATATATATTTGAAAAATTATATTATTACCAATGCAAGTATTATAATTACAGTATAAGCATGTAAAGGTGATGAAGGTAAACTTTCCACCTAAAAAAAAAATAAAAAATTATTTAAATAAAATTAAGACCATAAAAAAAAGCAAAATTCAAATAACCTCTCGTAAAACTTTTAATATTGGTTCATGTTGTAATGGTGATGAGAGCTCTAATGCATGTCTTAAATGTAACATAGATTCCTGAAAATGGCCATACGCTTTAAAAATTTCACCAAGGGTTAAATATTGTCGCCATGCACTACGATCTGGGGGTTGAACTTCAAGTGATCTTCGTGTCAAATGTATTGCATCATCTAAATATTGCAAATTAAATAGTACACCAGCCAAATTGAGTAATACTTCCGCATTTGTTGGTGTTATCGCAAGAGCACGTCGAAAACATTCAATGGATAAACGTGGATCACCCTTAATACGCCAATAATTACCAATTTGATTATATAAATTAACTGAACGTGGTTTTTCCTTTTTTGCACGTTTTAAACGTTTCTCTAATAAATTAATATCAAACGATCGTAAAGAACGTTCATCGGGGTTTTTCATAAATAAGTAAGCCACATCCGGTTCGGGCGTTAATGGGTGACTAAATCGATTCGCGACACCAATTAGATAATCATAGTACGTAAAATTGACTGGTTTACCACAATCTAATAAATCGCCAGAAGATTCTCTTTTATTATTGTTTTTTGTAAGAATTGTTGTAGTAGAATCTACTGTGGCATCGACACTGTCATTTGATTGCTTATTAGAATTTATTGAAGAATTTTTTACTGGCTCTTCCTTTTTCTGTAATTTCTCATCTATATCACAAATTAGACCGTCACAATTTTTTTCAATTGACTGTTTGCTCCAAGAATTTCCATATGTAACCACAGTAGATGTTATTATGTTAAAAATATCATCTTCTTTTAATTTTTTTTCCATTGTATGAGACAGAAGAACATCCTAAAAAAATATAATACGGCAAAATTCATTGCATGGGTCTTATTCTGATAACATAAAAAGCTTAAACACAAAAATGCCTACTCTACAACTCAAATAAAATAAGTTAATTATCAAACTATCAAAAGATATAAAGAATATAAAGTTATTTCAATTAATTTACCTTTCCTTCATCCGCATATCCAGTAATTTTTCCATTTTCATTTAATTTCCACAATGTTGATGTTCGAGAATTGGTTATTGGAATTTGCCATAATAAAGTAACTATAGCCAAATAGACTACCAATGTTCTTAAATCCAACATTCCAAAAGTTATTTTTAAAACAATTCACTTCAATATAATTTTTAATTTTGAATAAATAAATATGAAATCATTTCATTTCAAGAATGAAAATAGTACTCTGGAAAAAAAGCAAAATCTAAACTCGATTTTGACATATCTTTGGCCAAACAATTTAAAGGAAATTTTTGATAAAAATGTATTCAAACATTTCATTCACAATGAAGTTTGGTATTTTTTTTGCCACACAATATTCACAATATAATGGTTTTAAATATTTAGGAGTTCGAATCGAAATAGTAAAACATTTTGAGATTTCAAATTTTGTTATGGAATTTGTTTATTGTAAAAAAAAATAAAGTTATGTAAATTTTTTTTAAATCAATATAAATTTTTAAAAAAAGTCTTATTTTAACACGTAATTGTGATATTAATTGTAAAATCCTAAAGATGTAAAGAGAATATTAAATAATAGTTCTTGGAGAGAAAAAAAGCACGAGAAAAACCTATTATTTTTATTAAAATTTTTTGTTAACTGAATTAAATTACGCTCTTTTAAAGGGATCTCGAGATTTCTCTCAGTAAACAACAATCTAAATTTTATTGCATACAATGGGACCTAATAAGTTTTTTTAATTTTGTTTACAAGTATTGGCGAATAACAATTAATTACAGAGCTAAATGAATATATTACAATAATTTTTTGGAGAAACGAAAAGATGAGGAAGAAAATGGAATAATTTCGTGATTTTACAATTAACAACATAACCAACATAACTCAATGGAGAAATGGCTATCGGCATTCAGATTTGTTGCTTCTTTTTCTATCATGTTTATGATTCTTTAATTTTTAACGACAAAGATATTTATGAAATTTATAAAAAAAATGTTCGTTTTCCGCATTAAAGATTTAGATTTAGCTCAGTTCTGTTTTCTTCACCGGTATCGTATCTTTGAATGTTTATAAAAAAAAGAATTAAACGAACAGACCTATTAATTACCCATTGAACATACAACAACAAACTTTTAGTGTCAAGCATGTCAAAATTAAAAAACGTTTCAAGAGGCAAGAAAAAAATAAAATCTGAGCTACATCAAAGCAAAGCAAATGTATCAAAATAAATAAAATTGAAAATAATGGACAATAATATTGCTAGAACCCATGAAGGTAAATGATAAATAGAATTAATAACTTATAGATATTTATTTTCCACTAATAATTATATTTTTGCACTTATATTTATATAAAAAATATGCTGACGGCCATTTTGAATTTCAACAAAAATCCAGACATTGAAGCACAAATCCGTGAAATACAGACAAAAAAGAAAGAATATGCAAAAACCAATAATGAAAATGGAGTTGGCCTCTTAGAAAGTGGAAATTTCTTTGATAGTGATTTATATGAAACAGCTAATATTAAAAGTCGATATGATGGATATAACACTTCAATTGCGGCTAATGACGATATTGAGGACGATGAGGAAGATGATGGTATACCGGTACCAACTAAAAGAATATCATATACAGCACCAAAACAAGCACTGAAAGATGTTACTCAGGTATTAATATTTACAAAATTACAGAATTTAATGGAAGTATATAACTATTTGTTTTTTTTTTAAGGGCAAGGAAGATTTTGATCCTTTAGCTGATAGAAGGCGACCGACTATTGCTGACCGAGAAGATGAATATAGACAAAAACGTCGAAGATTGGAAATATCCCCAGAAAGGGCAGATCCTTTTGCTGAAGGTTTGTGTTTACTAATTTTTTACATTCTTATAAAAATTGTACAAAAAAATAATACCAAAAATAGTTTCAATATGAAAAAAATTGTGCATAGAAATGTTTTTTTTTTAAATATATAAAAAGATTTCTTGTACTTTCTTTTTTTCTTCGAGACTCAGAATAAATTATAAATACATTTCGTAACATTATCAATATATTAATAAAAATAAATAATTTAATTTTTAAATTAATAAGAATAAATTACAAGAAATCTTTTTGAGTCGTTAACATTTTCCTGTGTATATGAGGACTTTTAAGAATGAATGTGTATTAGAATGAATGTGAATATAAAATTAGTTTTTATAAACTATTTATTAATACGAAAAAACATTTACATAACAGGTCATCAAATGATTACGTAAAATTAAAAAAAAAAATAAGTATGTATATAGAAATTATAAAAATAAAAATATGCAAATCTGGATCCACACAAAAATGGTGCATTTAAAACGTCTAAGTATTGTTTGTGTACCACCGATATATTAAATTTATTATGTATTTATTTTGGTGGTTAATATAATACAACAAGTAACGAGTGAGAACTTCAACGTTTTACAAACAAAAAATATATATATATATATATATACAAAAACTAAAAACAAGAAAAAATTTAACTGTACACATCATTTTAGTCTAGATAAAAAAATAAGGAAATGCAGGAATATTTGAGACTTACATAATTTGTAGCAAACCAGCATCAAAATTAAATTCAACTCATTCGACAATTAATCTTTTATGTTTTTTTAAATTTTGTGAAATTTTCTCAATAAAAGAAACAAATTTATAAAAAATTCAAGTTTCTGGTCAATTTTGAAATTAATATATTTTTATTTTTCGCAGAATATTAATATGTAAAATTTTCGTTTTGGAATTTCACAAAAAATTACACGTTATCTATGCAAATATGTTTCTAAAATTAAAATTAAATAACCGCGTTTAGTTAAAAAGGAAAATTTTTTCTTGTTTATTTTAGTATTTTATATTTTTATTTGAATGAAAGGGATGAATGAATTGCAATTTAATGAAATGTTATTAATCGCAAAAAGCATTATTTCAGGATAATTCAGATCAACCCAGATATGAATATTTTTTAAAATTTTAAAATAGAAATGATCAAAATTCATTTTTTGAAATGCTAAAAAATAAAGTCATTTTCGTATACCTAAGTGATCATAAATTAAAATGCAAAAAGAAAATTGATTTATTTTTAATTTTTCTAAAATGAATTTTGTCATTTCTTATTTCAGTTTATATTTAAATGATAGCATTAAAAGATGCCTTCATTGTTAATTTATTTTAAAGGAATTTTAAAAAATATGGATGATATGTCATCGATGGACACGTACGTATAATTTTTAATAAAAATATGAAATTTGAATTTAACTTTATAAATTGATAATTTTATTTAATTGCAAAATTAAATAAATTAGGATTAGAAAAGAATATTAGGATAAAATGCGTCAGTATGCTTAAAATTTTATGTCTAAGTCTTTTGTGAGGATTTAAAAGTGTTTGAAATTTAATATTTGTAAAACGTGTTACATAACGTTTTAAACAATTGTTCTTAACGAAAAAAATTCCATTTAATATTTTCGAGCACAATGTTCTGGAATCAAGTACAAGAAAAAAAAAAACAAAATCTTTATTAACAAAATTCTTGAAGTAAGAACTGTTGTTTAATTTAATTTTTGTTTCAAAAATTATTCAAAAAATGATATTCCGGTTTATACAAATTTCATATTTTTATTGGATTTAATATTATCTAATTCTAAAAAATGTATAGTTCTTTAGAAAAACGCTAAACCAAAAAAGAGAAAAACAAAACTTTTAATTTAAGGATCTTAAAAAGTATTTTCTAAAGTTTTCTCTATACATTTTTTTGGCTATTGGAAAAGGTTTCTGTTATGAAAACGGTAATTTCCTTATCTAATTTTGTTTGTTTTGGGGTTTCTCTTACAGGTGGTAGAACCCCTGATATTGGTTCACGTACCTATACGGATATTATGCGAGAGCAGAGGCTTAAAGGAGAAGAGACAGAGGTAAATAGTAACAAACACATTTTTGTTTTTATAAAAATATTTATATTTGATTCTTGTTTTGAAAAGCTACGACGAAAAATTATTGAAAAATCTAAAGATGGAACACTACAAAAATCATCCAATGGAGAAGTAATTAAACCCCCAGAACCTAGAAAGCGAGGACGTTGGGATCAGACTGTAAATGATAGTTTTATACCAGCAAAACAAATTTCTTCAAATTCATCAATGACGCCATCTGGTGCTGCAACTCCAACTTGGGAAGATGTGAGCTATTATTTGAAATATATATATGTATATTTTAAGATATAAAGGTTTTTTTTTTTGTTATTTTAGAAAACTCCTGGGGATCATCGATGGGATGAAACTCCCGGTCATAAAGGCAGTGAAACACCAGGAGCTACCCCAGGGTTGGGTACCAGAATGTGGGATGCAACTCCAGCTCATGCTATGACACCAGGTCATGAAACACCTGCACATGAAAAATCTGTGCGTCGTAATCGATGGGATGAAACTCCGAAAACTGAGCGAGAAACTCCAGGTCATAGTGGATGGGCAGAAACCCCAAAACCTGATCGTGGAATTTCGGATAATGTACCGGTTGAAGCTACTCCTGGAACTGCAAAACGACGTTCACGATGGGATGAAACCCCATCAAATGCAACGCCGTCTATGACACCATCAGCTATGACTCCAAGTATGACACCCAACATGACTCCACATGCAACACCAGGTCACGCAACTCCCCTTTTAACACCAGGCGGCACAACTCCAGTTGGTGCTAAAGCAATGGCTATGGCAACACCTACACCAGGGCATTTAGCTGCGATGACTCCAGAACAATTACAAGCATATCGTTGGGAGAAAGAAATTGATGAAAGAAACAGACCATTCACCGATGAAGAATTGGATAGTATGTTCCCACCTGGTTATAAAATATTGCCACCGCCTGCCGGTTATATACCTTTGCGTACACCTGGTAGAAAACTAACAGCTACACCAACTCCAATCGCTGGAACACCTGTTGGATTTTTCATGCAGGTTGAAGACAAAACAGCAAAATTTATGGATAATCAACCAAAAGGCGAAAATTTACCTTTTATGAAACCGGAAGATGCGCAATATTTTGATAAATTATTGGTTGATGTTGATGAGGATACTTTAACTCCTGAAGAACACAAAGAAAGGAAAATTATGAAACTTTTATTAATTATTAAAAACGGAACTCCACCAATGAGAAAATCTGCTTTAAGACAAATTACGGATAAAGCGCGTGAATTTGGAGCTGGGCCTTTGTTTAATCAGATACTTCCGCTTTTAATGAGTCCTACTTTGGAAGACCAAGAGCGTCATTTATTAGTCAAAGTTATTGATCGTATTTTATATAAACTGGACGATTTAGTAAGGCCGTATGTGCACAAGATTTTAGTCGTTATTGAACCATTACTTATTGACGAAGATTATTATGCCCGAGTGGAAGGACGAGAAATAATATCAAATTTAGCTAAGGCTGCTGGTTTAGCAACTATGATATCCACTATGCGCCCAGATATTGATAACATTGATGAATATGTCCGTAATACAACCGCAAGAGCTTTTGCAGTGGTCGCGTCAGCATTAGGTATTCCCTCTCTTTTGCCGTTTTTGAAAGCTGTATGTAAAAGCAAAAAATCATGGCAAGCTAGACACACTGGTATTAAAATTGTACAACAAATCGCAATTTTAATGGGATGTGCTATATTACCCCATTTAAAAGCTCTGGTTGAAATCATTGAACATGGTCTTGTTGATGAGCAACAAAAAGTTAGAACTATAACTGCTTTAGCTTTAGCTGCTTTGGCGGAAGCTGCGACACCTTATGGTATCGAGTCGTTTGATTCTGTTCTGAAACCTCTTTGGAAAGGTATTCGCACTCACCGTGGTAAAGGCTTGGCTGCGTTTCTCAAAGCTATTGGTTACTTGATTCCATTGATGGACGCCGAATATGCAAATTACTACACAAGGGAAGTAATGTTAATTTTGATTCGTGAATTTCAATCTCCTGATGAAGAAATGAAAAAAATTGTGTTGAAAGTAGTTAAACAATGCTGTGCAACAGATGGTGTTGAGGCTCAATACATTAAGGAAGAAATTCTGCCACATTTTTTCAAGTTCTTTTGGAATCATCGTATGGCTTTAGACAGAAGAAATTACAGGTAAAAATTTGGCATACCAACTTAATTTTTTTTTAAATGTTTTTTATTGTGTATCCAAAGGCAATTAGTTGACACTACAGTTGAAATCGCTAATAAAGTTGGTTCATCTGAAATTATTAATCGTGTAGTTGATGACTTAAAAGATGAAAATGAGCAATATCGTAAGATGGTAATGGAGACAATTGAGAAAATAATGGGCAATCTGGGGGCAGCAGATATTGATTCCAGACTTGAGGAACAGTTGATTGACGGCATATTGTACGCATTTCAAGAACAAACCACCGAAGATTTCGTTATGTTGAATGGGTTTGGAACAATCGTTAACCAGTTAGGTAAAAGAGTAAAACCGTATCTACCACAAATTTGTGGCACAATTTTATGGCGTTTAAATAACAAATCAGCAAAGGTACGTCAACAAGCTGCTGATTTAATTTCACGAATTGCTGTTGTCATGAAAACATGTCAGGAGGAAAAATTAATGGGTCATTTGGGCGTAGTTTTATATGAATACTTGGGTGAAGAATACCCCGAAGTGCTAGGGTCAATTTTAGGAGCACTAAAAGCTATTGTTAATGTTATTGGTATGACAAAAATGACACCGCCCATAAAGGATTTATTACCAAGATTGACACCAATCCTAAAAAATCGTCATGAAAAGGTTCAAGAGAATTGTATAGATTTAGTTGGGAGAATTGCAGATCGTGGTCCAGAATATGTTTCAGCTAGAGAATGGATGCGAATTTGCTTTGAGTTGTTAGAGTTATTGAAAGCACACAAGAAAGCAATAAGAAGAGCAACAGTAAACACATTCGGTTATATCGCGAAGGCAATAGGTCCGCATGATGTTTTAGCTACTCTTCTAAATAATTTAAAGGTACAAGAACGTCAAAATAGAGTATGCACTACAGTTGCCATAGCTATTGTTGCAGAAACATGTCGACCTTTCACTGTGTTACCAGCCCTAATGAATGAATATCGTGTTCCTGAATTGAATGTTCAAAATGGTATTATTCAGTTTTACATTCGATTTTAATAAACTAAAGACAACTTAATTTTTTTCTTATTTTCAGGTATCTTGAAATCATTATCATTTTTGTTTGAATATATTGGGGAAATGGGTAAGGATTACATTTATGCAGTTTGTCCTTTGTTGGAAGATGCTTTAATGGATCGAGATTTGGTGCATCGCCAAACAGCGTGTGCTGCCATTAAGCATATGGCTTTAGGTGTCTATGGTTTTGGATGCGAAGATGCACTCATTCACTTGCTCAATTATGTTTGGCCAAATATTTTTGAAACTTCACCGCACTTAGTACAAGCTTTTGTCGACGCTGTGGATGGTCTAAGGGTGTCTTTAGGACCCATTAAAATACTGCAATATACTTTACAAGGTCTGTTCCACCCAGCAAGAAAAGTTAGAGACGTTTATTGGAAAATTTATAATTCTTTATATATTGGGGGTCAAGATGCATTAATTGCTGGATATCCCCGAATATCAAATGATCCCAAAAATACCTATGAACGTTATGAATTGGATTATACATTATAAATTTTTTTGTTATATTTGTATTTTGAAGACAAGAAATTCCCTCAAGATAACGCTAAAAATAATGTGAAAAAAGAATTAAAACTTCTAATTAATTAAGAACCTTTTAAAGTCACATGAATAAACACATTATGCAATAAATTATTGTGTAAATTTCGAAATAAAATATTGTAATGTAAACGTAAACAATAATATATGTAATATTTTTTTTCATTTTTAAAATATTTTTAAGTTAGACTCAACGATTTTGTTGGTTAATTTTCGTCAATAGTTTTTTGCTAAAAAATTTTCGGAAATTTGTGTTTTACATCCTTTAATGTAGGTTACACGTCTTTGCAATGTTTAAAATTGAATTTAAAAGAGTTCATATAATCCAATCATTTCATCCCAACATCTGCACCTTTGCCTTTTGAAAGGGTTGCATACTTTTTCAAAATACAATATGTACTTAATTATTAATGAACTTTAATTAGAACATGAATATGCTATAATTATTCGTCTTGTAAACAAATAATTGTTTCCTAATGGTCTAATTCAAGTATAATAACGAATTTTGCTTCTATACGTGAGCGTGCTACTATTACTATGTACCCACCTACATATGTATGTATCAAACAAAATAATATTTTCAACATTCCATTTTACATACATAGTTTTTATTTCGCTAAAGCTAGACATTTTAGAATTATTTAATATTTATACAAAACTATTAGATACAATAAGCATTGAAAATCTTTTTTTTCAAAAACTGTGTCAAAATATAATACGTAATGTAATTTAAACTATAAATGAACAAAAATGTATGATAACTCTTATTAAAGTAAATTTATTCCACTTCAATTATTTGGGGTTCTATACCCCGGATCATTCACTCCTCGTAAAATTCTTACTAATTCCATATCTTTAATTATTAATGTAACTCGTCCTCTATGTAAAGCACATCTGTATGCATCCTCGAAAAATACTGTTAAATATATTTCAGCAGATTCTTGTATGGCTTCCAGCGCTGCTGGTGTTACTCTCATATTTGTATCACTATATTCTCCTATTATCTGCTTTATAAGTTTAGAAAATGGTAGTTTTGGAATTAAGTTACCTAAAAATTTAAATAAACTGCCTTAATCTTATCAAAACATATCTTGAAAACACTAAAATTACATACAATGTATGTATGTACATATTTATGTGTATTTATGTTATCAATGTATTTATGTACATATGTAGCTACGAATACTAACTTGTAGTGGCTTGGTATTTTCGGATTTCATATAATACATGTTTTTTTGGTTTCTGTAGTTTTCGTCTTGAATGTTGAGTAGTTTGCTTGGGTGATATATTTGAAATTTCCTGAATACGCTGCGACCTACGACTAGGCATTTCATTTTCTTTTTGCGATTTATTAGACCATGTAGTTCGTTGCATAGAAGACGATCTGGTCTGTTTTTGTTTTGATTTTGGTCTTGGTTTTTGACTGGACTTCGTAGGAGTTCGTCCCAAAGATCGTCTGCTGCTACTAGCAAGTGGATGATTAGATATAGAAGCATTTAAAGCATTACCATTAGTTTCGTTCTGAGTATCTGGAGACAAAAATCCAGTACTGTCGTCAGTACAGCTTTCCTCATCAAAGTAGTTTCTTATAGTATCTTCCCTTCTTGAAGTTGACATTTATTTAAAGAATAATTTTTAAATTTCAAAAAAAATACTGATGCACATACGGACATTAAGACCTAATTAAAATTTTGAATAATTTTATACTTTTTTGTATGGCGCTATTTTTGAAATTTAAAATTTATAACAAGGGTTGAACTATGGACTTATTGATGTTCAATTGATTAATCGATTAAGATACTTTAAAGATAATCGCAGATTTTTAATGACGAAAATTTCAGCGACGGCAAACATTTTCCTTGTTGAATTTTTTTAACACATACAATATTTTTATATAGTTGATATAGGTACTACTAGATTTTTGTTTGATAACATATGCTTCATTTATAATTGTATGTATGGTCACCGTCATTCAAAAACTAAACTTAAACCTAGTTTTCGGAGCATTGGAATAATGTTTGTTCAAAATTGGAAAAATATCACATCCCAATTGAATGGAGATCGCTAAGAATGAAAAATTTTAGGAGGATTTATATAGTGAACTTTTTAGAGGTTTTTGTATTATCACAAAATGCTGCGATGTTATGCAAGTTTAGAAACAGGGCTTTGTAAACATAACGTTTGAGCTCTTTGAACATTAGAATGGCTAAAATCAATTTTGACATAAAATATAAGAATTCGTTAAAGCTTTTAACTCCAAATTTTTTGCTTGACTTTTTTTGTCAGAATATAATGCAGCAAAATCTATTTTTTTTTTAACCGGCATGTAGTAAGCTGTTTAAAGTTTTTCTCTTTTTGAATATGGTCGAAAGTTTTCAAACTTTTAGACAATCCTAGAATAAAAAAATTAGTTTTTAATACGCCATCAGTCTTGACTTTGAATTATCTTTTTAAAACCAATTTTATTTTACGTTTATTATGTTTTTATTCGCAGAAGGTAATATTTTTCTATCTCCCTTTGATGACATTAAAATGTCAATTCACATATAAAATTTTGAGTTCAGTTTAAGTATGACGTATTTATTATTTTAGTAATAATAAATCTAACGTAAACAAACTACTAAAACCATTATTTAGTAGCGTATGAGCGTGACCGAATTTAATCTTGTTTTTCTTAACCCAAAAATAATTTTTTAATTTTGTGACTAGTGACATTAATTTTAACATACATACTCATATTGTCATTGTGATTATTTGTTAACGCACTACTCACCACGTTCCATCACTACTGGTGTCAATTTACTTTCTAATGAACATCAAAAAGGAAGTAATCGAAAAATGAACGTATTTCTATATACAGTTAATAAATACATGGAGATTATATGGAAAGGGAAATTCACATATTCAAACTATTATTTTGCAGAAAATCCTGTAAATACCTTACAGAATATTTCAGCTGTTTTTGACATTTTTAGTTTATAAAGTGAATTATAATGATTATATACACAAGTTTTTTTCTATTCAAAAAAAGTTATTTAATTTAAGTGTTATTCATAAGATTTTAAATAAAATTGTAAAAATTTATGTAATTTATCTTTTTAATATATTATTTAATTTATTGTACAATTTATTTAATTTGCCTCTACAAAAGCAAAAGTTCTGTACATTTAAATATAAAGTTTATTAAGATATAGTAAAATGTATTCAGTTCATTACTAATTTCAAGTTAAATTTCGGTTTTAATTTCATAAAAGTTATATCAAGAGGATTAATAATCAAGTACAATGGATAAGCCAGACGATACTTTTCGTTACATATACAGTTCATCTCTTGAAGAAAGGGTAAAAATCAAAGTGTAAGTATTGACAATATTCGCTAACAAATCGACCTGCTCACATTAATACGTAGGTACATAAAAACTACATAGCTTTTAATTTTAGTAAAAGCAAATAACTACTATTAATTTACTTTTCGTCCATTTTATACATACTATAATTTTGATATTTTGGGATCTTATTAGTTAACCGAATGATGAAAAAATAATTAAATTAAAACAATTAGCGTTAAATTACGTGTCACTCATGATGAGTAGTCAGAGCACGGTAAAATTACACTACCTCGAATAAATGCGTACATACATGATCTGTGCAGTTACGGTTATTTTTTAACGGTACATAGTAGTATTTTTAATTTTTTAAATTAAAAAGTTTTTACGTTTTAAAAAGGTGGTCGGAAGTAGATAAGCATTATATTGAAACTCATTCGAGTACATGCTATTACTTGTTTGTCGTGTCGCATCTCCAAAAACATTTGCTTTTAAAAATTTTACAATCATTTCAATATGTTTGAATATTTTCCAGTTTTCATTCTCTTATTTTTATTATATTTATATATTTACAGAAATTACAGAATGCATTTTTATTGTGTTATATTTTAATATTGTATTTAGAATTTTATTAAAGAATGTAAATTTTATTTTATTGTGATTTTTTCTAAATGCCATCTTGTAAATAGTCAATTTGCTTAAATAAAGTACTATGGTCACTCTGCACGTTGTCACAAAAACTACGTACCCACAATCGACATACATATTTTTACATATTTATTTGTTTGACATTTCAAAATATTAAATCAAATTTAAGTATATGAGTCTGGTTTGTTTGTATAGAAAATATTACTTATCATACTATGGGTGTGTGTGATTGTTTCAAATTATTATTAAAATATCAAATAATATGGAAATTAATGTTAAAAATTTTATAATCGAATTTATTATTTTCCTATAGATAGATATTAAGTATTTATTTGCAACCTGTGTTCAAATTTTATAATAAAATTGAACGTCTGAAATTTAGCAGTTTTAAATTGAAATTAAATAAAACGAAACAATGAACCTAGGGCTGGCACAGCTTCAAAAATCTGTAATAGTTTCGCTACACAATATAGTAATTGCAGAACATAGGCTTAATTGTGTGTTGATAACGTATAACAATTTCGAAGTTCAAGTTTATTTTAACATCTGTCATTCTCGGAGTTCTCAGTCAAAATTATTTATATAAAGAAATTTTGCATTATTATATTTAACTCGATAGAAATCTGTAATACATGATCAAAAAAAAAAAGGGAACTTTTTGGAAATTTGGAACGGAATAATATGATCCTTTGCTGAAAACTAAGGTGCTCTTACCAAAAAATATGAAATACTAATATTCACTAATTTGATACATGAGTTAGAACATTATATTCCTTTATTAAATTGTGAAAATATAAAATCGTTCATTAAATGCTGTGGACATTTTTTTACTGATTAGTTTTTTTTGAGTGTTTTGCGTAATTGATTTCTGTTTATATCTTGTTTCATTCATTTTTCCTTTTCTTTCAAAAATCAAAAAGTATTGAAAAAACAAAATTCTTCGAGCACTATTGTGGTCTCTTGTTTATCCATTCAAAATTTCATTGAATGAAAAATGCTGTGTTATGAATTCGATGCGATTGTGAATAAACTGAATTGTTATGTGACACTGACACATTGATAATTACTCATAAAGTTACACATTCAAACAAGTATACTATAATAATACTGAATACATACAAATTATAATACTCAACAGATTTTCTGCAAATTAAAATTTTTACGATTACACGTCAGTTTTCAATTAATCAGTAATCATCGTCTTGTTTGCGAGAGTTATTCATTTAATTTTTTAATGAAAGTTTTTGAAGTATAAATGTGATTTTAAAATCACTAAATTGTAACATATTATTTATTTTACAAAAAAAAAACTCTTATAATTTTATTTAACTTAAAAAAACAAAAATAATACAAAAGCGGAGTGAACACTTTAAATTTTGTTGAAGTAATAAAATTTTAACCTAAAAAAATTTGCTTGTCATTTCCAACGCAATAAAATTCAACTTTTAGTTCAAACAAACACAAAAGAAGATCATTATATATATGTACATATGTACAAAAATTGTTATAATAGTTAGTTACCAAGTTGCGTCAATATTAAAAAAATACACACTTGTAAACTGTTAACAATTTAAATTATTAAAAGTTCATTTGTTAAAGTTAAATAAGTTGTATAATTAATTAATTACTTTTTATAAAAATGGCTGGTAAAGAATATACATTGGCTGAAGTTCTTGAACATAACTCAAATAAAAGTACATGGCTTGTTATACATAATAATGTATATGATGTAACTGAATTCTTAAATGAACATCCTGGTGGTGAAGAAGTTTTAATTGAACAAGCTGGCAAAGATGCTACTGAAAATTTTGAGGATGTAGGTCACAGTACTGATGCTAGAGAAATGATGAAAAAATTTAAAATTGGAGAATTAGTTAAGTCTGAAAGAAAAGTTGTTGCTGAAAAATCTGAACCAGATTGGACAACAGATCAACAAAAACAACAAAATTCAGGAAATCTTTTTAACACATGGATTATGTATTTTGCATTGGGTTTAGTTGCTACAATCATCTATAAATTTGTATTTTCGCAATAATAGCTAGGAAATAGTAAAAAAAAGTTGTACAGATTTTAAATCAAATATATAAAAAATTAATTTGTTTTTTTTTTTCATAATTTTTTTCTCTGCATTTATAAGAGTTAAAAATTCAGCTTAATTTTTTTTTATATGAGCAAAAATATTGGTACTCTATGTTAAGTTAATCATTCCTTTTCTAAAGATTTTTGTCATAAAATTTAGTTGATATTTTAAAATATGTAATTGCTAATTTTTTATCAGATTTAAACATTGTTATTAAAATTAAAATCTAAGTCTGATTATTTTACACATAAAAGAATATACATATAATAGGTAGGTACCTACCTACATACATATGTGAACAAAAAATGAACAACAAAAAAGCAAATAACAAAGTCCTCATTTAAAAATCATGAGATATCAGTTTTAAAATTAATTTTTTAAAAAGCTTCTACTCACATATACTTTTTTTTTAAAGTAGTTCTACAAAAAATACATTAAGTTGTAGATATTTCTATATAAATGTGTTAAAAAAATTAAATTTTTGATTTCGTAATGTAATTGTGCTTGCAATATTTGAAATTGCATAAATTAAACGGTGTGAACCTTATTTTTAACATTTTAACATTTGTATTTGGTCTTAAGGTTTTTAATAATATTTTTCAAGAAAATATTAATTTCTCTATTACTTAGGTTTTATTACCTTTCTAATAATTAAAAAAGAAACAAAAATAATATATAAGAATAAAAGATATTGAAAAAATCACTAAAATTTGCAGTCAATTTAATTTTTTTTCAGCTTCAGTTTGTATAAAATTAATATTATTAATCTATAGTCCTTTTAATATCTACCACTTATTACAAATATTTAGAATAAAAAATTTAAAGATCTAATTCTTTGAGATTCCGAGAAATCATTTTCATTTCCGAGACATTTTTTAGTTGCAAAGCCACATTTAATTATTTCTGAAATAAATTAGTTATGCTATAATGATCATGCAAAATTATTTAAAAATTTTATTTTTATAAAATAGCTATTTGTATTAGGTGAACCACACAACATATGTAGGAAACCACACACAATTTTATCTCATTTTTTTTATGAGTAGACGACCAACACTACGATTATGATGTTTATGAAATCTGACCCACTTATATAATTCAATAAATCTTCATTTCAAAAAAAAAAAAATTTCTTTTTCAAGAAACAAAAAATCTTGACCTTAAAATTTAATTAATAGCCAAATAGCTAGAGTTGGTTTAATTTTTGGAATTTTTTTTCGTTTTTTTTTTTTGTGTGCGAGTTATTTCTTACAGTGTTTTATCTGAAAACTTTCAATTTTGATGGTTTTAATACTGAAAGAAATCTCTTAATTTAAACTCACGAGGCAGAGTAATTCGTGTATAGGAAAAATAAAATTAAAGAAATAAATTACATATGTACAAAATACATATATATTTTTTGTGTGTTATCTTAAGTGAAGTCCAAAGTCTATCACTTAAATTATTCAAATTAAATTCCTTTTTGTGTTTTTAAATAATAATTTTGCTTGCGAATAATGAATTTTAAAGTAAAAAACATTTATAAAATTTCATAAATTTCTGTTATACAAATTTTATTAATGTGTTTTTAAGTATATGTATAGTTATAGGGTTATACCTAGTTTTAGTGGAGAAGTTTTTTTTTTATATAATTTTGAATTTTTAGTAATTTAAGTGTTCATTTTAAATTAAATGTTTTTATATTCTAATGTAATAAAGAAAAAAAATTTTTTTTTATATGTAACTTCCAATCTAATTCTAAAATTTCAATAAAATTATTTAATATATTGGATGGTTAATTTTGAAAATGACCTAAGCCCATTTTAATTAAAAATTAAATATTTCTCCGTTTGGGTATAAAGTAATCAAAAAATTGGATTAGCTGGCTATTAGTTTTATAGAATATTTATTTTCACATCCGATATCATAAGTTTCGTTTCCAAGTATTGACATTATTATTGCCTTGGAAATAAAAGAGTTTTGAAATGGCAAATGAACTTAAGTCATTCAAAATGAACCATTCATATGTAATTACTTTTTAAGTAATTAAAATTGTGAAAACATGGAATAAAAAATTCAATTTCTTAAGAAATTTTTTCATTTTAAATACAAATAAATGTATTTATATATGTACCTATATTAAATATTTTCTGGGAATCATTCATATATTATGTTCATAATATAATTCTTCAATATGATTCTTCAATCACCTTTGCTGCATAATATGTATAAAATTTAGCTACCTGTTCTATACACGATTTCAACTTAACTAGATTTCAACAGGTACTTATCTACTTGTTTATAAATAGTCTCGTAGACTATGGGATTAAAATTACTCTTGTAATTAAATATCTTAAGAGTAATTAAGGAGAAAATAACCAAAAATTTAAATACATACCTGTATACTTTTGAATTTTAATATGTATATAACAATGCATATTAGATGGAATTTTTTATCTACCATTGGAATTCAACATGTATGCATTATGTTGTTGCTATTAATTGAAGTTCGATATTATTCCAAAAAATTTTACCAGACATGCATGATAGGTACCAGAAAATTGAAAAGAAAAGGTTATTATGCTTTTGTTCAGTTACTGTTACAAGTCAACATAAATGGGTATAAAAAGTATAATAATAGAATGTTTAGTAAATTGGAAATAAATAAAACATGAAAAATATCAATTTATACAATTAATTAGTATTGAAATATTCAAATAATTTACAATTCACATAATATGACTTAGCAATATTCAAAATAGATAAAATATTAATTTAAACTAATATTTTCTGTTGTATAATAAATGTTTGTCATTACTTTGTTATCATATCGTACTTTCTTTAAGGCACACTTATCTCAAATTCTTATCATATTTTTTTTTTTTTAATAAAAAACGTGCTAAATTGTTAATTATCAGGAATATTTTTAGCAAATTTCGTTGAAACATTGAGTAGAAGAGATTGTAAGGCTTAGAAAAAACAACAATGTAAAAATTTTAGTATAGATCGCTATGTATGTAGCTATGACTGCTGAATGGTTATTCAAACGATTTTTTTTAAATTATTGTAAGTTATATAATGTATTTCAGTTCACCCTGACCATCATTATTTACTTATTATTTATTTGGTTGACAATGAGAATTTTATAATATTCAAATTTATATAATAAAAGTGTATAATACACACGTTTAATACAAGTAATATTTAAGTAGTTCTCAACAACATTTTTTGAAATTTGTATTGAAAAGTATGTATGTACATTGTTTTTGAGCACATATGTAGAGAATGCTGAATAAACGAATTCTCAGTGCCAATTTCAATATAAATTTTTGAACACAATAACAAATTATTGAAATAAAATGATTGACCGAATGAAATTCCCTTTTGGTCTTAGTTGGAATTGAAGAAAATGATAAAACTATAATTTTACGAGAAATAATATTAAAAATAATTCAATTAAGATTTGATAGGAATTGCCTATATAATTATTTAAAGTTAATTGTCGTGTTGGAGATCATCAAAAAGCTAAAGAAATTCGTGTATGAATGAAAAAACAAAACAAATTAAGTGCTGGTAGAATCTGTTTGTCATAAGAATGACAATAAATTTTTTCATATAAGTAACTAGTTATAAACATTTTAAAAATGTATATTTAAAATGAGCGTAATCTAATCTAACAATTTCAAAGTTATACAGATAATATTAGAGTTCCTACTTATAATAAATAATTTGAAAATAATCTAATATCTAATAATTATAAAAAATGATATGATTATTTTATTACAATACAATTTATTTGCCTATATTTTATAAGTTCTTTTAGAAATATGAAATTACGCAAGTATCAAATATTATTTGTTTGTTATCGACTACATCGTATACATTAAGGGAGGTTATGTGATGGCACAAAAAGTCAGATGTCAAGTTTTCGGTGGGAATGCATTTTTCCATGGTAGGGAAGAGTAAATAAACTATTTTTAGCAAGATGTCGGTATTTTTGCATTTTAGTTTGTCGGTCTGGGTCTGTACGCGGTTCAGCTGAATAGACTAACGAAATTTTATATATTATGAGTTTATTTTTGGCTAAATTTAGTGGTTGGTTATGTGCTGACCACATCATATCTGTTCTTTTTTTTTTTGAATTTCTGTATATCGTTAATATTTTTTTTATAAAAAAATACAAGTTTGCTGCTTTGCTTCAATGTTTTTTATTTATGGTTTTGATTACTGGTTGCTCTTTTTGATTTTGTGCGAATTTATAAAAAATTTCTATTGTTCTTTATGGTTCTATGCATATCAAGAAGAAGCTTATTTTAACTTATCATATTATATTGTAAGTGAAAATCTAAACCTATTAAATATTGCACAATATTTAAATTTCAAATTTCATGTAAAAAGTGTCAAATTTACCCTTGATAATGAAACTCTTCAGAAATAAAAAGCATTATAATATTATAATATAGCTACTTACATAACTATGTAAATTTTTTTTGATAATCTATTTTTTTTCTTATTTTTTTTTTTTTTTGGAGAAAATTATTCAAGATTTAAAAAATAAAATTCAAGATTATAGAGAGAAAACAGCAAGAAATAAAGTTTTTATTGAACTCAATTTTTAATGATTTTGAAATCATTAATGTTCAAAGTACAAATCGGATTAACAAAGCAAAATATTGAATAATATGATAATTTGAATGATTCTATTACAACATATCTATACCATAAAAGATAAAAAAAATATATGTATATATGTTTGCATGTATGTTAATATCAAAGTTTTGTTATACGACAGAAATTTCACTTTCTATTTCTAAATTTTTATATTATATTTTTTATATACTTTAAAATTTACTATGACCGCAATCAATGTACATTTAAGACATATGACATTTATTAGATGTAAAGCATTAACTTCTAAGTGTAAACTCAACTTTTCAAAACTTACCAACTTTTGAATATTCATGTACTTATTGAAATATTAAGAAAAAAATATAGTGAAGAAAAATTAGAAGAAATTTGAATGCTCTTTATCTTTTGGAAATTTTTACAATCAAGCAATGTAACAATGTTCTAGATAGAATTTTTATACTATTTTGTTAATTTTTCGTATTATGAAGTTTCATAGTGTTTACACTTATTTTTAATGTGAAAAGAAATATGAAACCAGAAACAAGGAGATTCAAATAAATTCGAATTTTAAGTGAGAAATTCTTTTTCAAAATTTTTGCTAATACAAAAGATATTGTACGTCGTTAATTAAGCGATAGTTTTGATAAATATATGCATAACACATATGTATGTTCAATGTAGTTTTTCTGAATCATATTAAATGTTGTTTTAATTTCAAAATGTTGTGGGGATATTAAGTCGTATAGGTCAATACTATAATATGCTTTTATTTACATACATATATGTATTATTTAATAAAAAGCTTTTCTACTTTCATATTTCATTAAATATGTACACTATTATATTGTTAAATTAAACAAGTTCCATTAAAAAAGCATTATTACACATTACAAAAACAATGATTAGTTGATCTTATAGAATCGACTTCATGCATATAGTAAAAAAATTCGATCTTATATTCAAAAAATTCTTCAATGAAAATGTTGATAATTTTTCCGAAATATAAAATTTTTAAATATATATTATACACTTATATAATTTTATACCGGAATGAAATACTTTTATTTTTTGCTAATATTATATTTCGTGCGGTGTATACGCACTTTATCAAAGTTAATTTTCTTCTTATATACTATACAGAATATAATAGATGGTATGCTTGATGTTGGTATAATACTCGTATACATTATAATATATACATGATTATTTAATATAATTTTCATTTCATGGTAGAACCATCGATAACATAACATGTATCAGTTGGTTGCAAAAACAAAAATAGTTCTACGAGTATAATATAATTTCAACTTGATTTCAAAATTTATTTGATAAATCTTTAAATTTATTTTTCATGTTAAAATATAATTATTCTGTTTTTGACATATATGTAACTATTCGCAAATATTAAAACAAATAAATTGCTTTTTGTATGATTTTTGATAGTACATTGATAGTATAAAATTAAAAAAAATAATGTTCAATAAGCAAATTAATTTTAAAAAGAGTAAGTATATAGAATAACTAAATAAATACTTAGTTATTAAATAAAATAATTAAATAAACTTTCAATGGAAAATTTACTTATTTATTGACTATTGTGTAAATATTATGACATTTATAACAATATCAAAAAATTATTTGTTCACGCTATCATGCCAATATATTCATACAAGTATACTACTTTCATGTCATTTCTTATATATTGCAATGAAATAAGTATCAAAATTTGTAATAAAACGTTTTGTATGGGAATAATTAATTTTGTTTCTGTAAAATTTAAAATACTCTTTTCAAGTACATACACTTACATATTTGATTCCGATTTGAATACAATTTAAATTTATTTTAGAAATTTTTTTCATTTAAATAAATATTTTGAGTTGCTAATTGTTTTTCTCTTTCAATTAAGTTCTAATCTTTTGAAAAATACAAAAAAAAAAATTGTACTTTAAAATTGAACTTTCATCGGAAATTTCCCCGCTATCAATTCTAAATGTCAGTAATTAATTGCAATTAAAATATCATTATACATGTTTTACTTGTTTCTTTAACATCATTTTATAATTTGAAATACATACATAATTCATTTTCGAATTAATTCTGTTTGAATGTTTTAAATATGGTTGCAATTAGTTAGTGCCATTTCCAATTGACAATTTACAATTTTTTACAAATTATTAATTATTACATTTCTAAACTACTTTTGAAATGCATTAAAAAGTGCGCATTTTAACGTATTGAATAAAAAGTCATTTAGTATAGATTAAAAATCGCAAATATTTGTTAAATACTGCTATCATTAACAATTTAGTAGAAGTAGTTTCTGAGGAATATTGCAGAAAATATTTAACGTAGTACATCCATATAAACATAAATCATAAGGTTGAATTTTTTTTGTTTACATTTGGGAACTCATACATTCATGCCCATTTAAGTTTAAAATTTTCTGCGCAGTTTAATTAAATTAATAACCTGCAATTTGATAAATAAAAAAGCTTTTTGTTTCAATGAATTTTATAATTTTGGAATAGATTACGTAATAATTTATAAATTATTTTATTATATAAATACTTTCCATTAGTATTCTTATAGCAGTAAATGAAGCAAAATGAAAAAAGCTCTCTTAACTTCAACTATGATCAACATACATTTTACGAATATTTAATATGAAATAGATTCTATGCTTTTACTTATGCCTTCACTCATAGTAAACTTATGAATTAAATTTCATTGTTATTTGTTTTTTTTTTCTAACATTTTTATTTTAATTTTAGTGGAACTTTAGAAGGTGAAAAACAAAAACCGGCTTATGAAAAATTACTTGAACAACCATTACTTAGATTTTCTGGTTTATATTCAGAAGAATGTGCGCCACTTCTAGTTCAAATTCAAGTTTATAATAAAGGACAACCATATTGTTTACCGGTAACAACATCATATAAAGCTTTTACAAAAAGATGGAGTTGGAATGAATGGGTAACATTACCGTTACAATTTTGTGATCTTCCTCGAACTGCAGTTTTAGCTTTTACAATATTGGATTGTATTGGTCCAGATCAAACTGCTGTTGTTGGTGGTACAGCAATATCATTATTTGGTAAAAATGGTATGTTTCGCCAGGGAATGTTTGATTTACGTATATGGCTTGATGTTGAAGGTGATGGTAATTATCCATCAAAAACACCTGGAAAAGGTAAAGAATCTAGTAAATCACAAATGCAAAGACTTGGTAAATTAGCAAAGAAGCACCGTAATGGTCAAATACAAAAAGTTGACTGGCTTGATCGATTAACATTTCGTGAAATCGAGATGATTAATGAGAGAGAAAAACGAATGTCAGATTATTTATATTTAATGATTGAATTTCCAGTAATATATGTAGACGATAAAATATATTCTGTTGTATATTTTGAACCAGATGGTGATACAACTTATAAATTTGTTGCAAAACCAAAAATGGTTACTGTACCCGATCCAGAAATATTGCAAGAAAATTTAGTTGAAAGAAAACATCATAGACTGGCACGTTCAGCTAGATCTGGTTTATCTGATAAAGATGCTAAGCCAACCGCACAAATTAGAGATCAATTACATACAATAGTTTACAGATATCCTCCTACATATCCGTTAAATAGCGAAGAACAAGATTTGTTGTGGAAGTTTAGGTTTTATTTAAGCAGTCATAAAAAGGCGCTTACAAAATTCTTAAAATGTATTAACTGGGAAACGCCGCTTGAAGCTAAACAAGCTCTTAATTTACTAACACAATGGACACCTATGGATGTGGAAGATGCTCTAGAGTTATTAAGTCCTTCCTTTACTCACGCGGAAGTGAGAAGGTACTATTATTGTTTTTAAGTTACATATATATTAAATTTTATGTATATTAACATATATTGTATATACTTAAATTTTTTAACATTTTAGATATGCTATAAGTCGGTTAAAGCAGGCTCCTGATGAAGATTTGCTTTTATATTTACTACAATTAGTTCAAGCTCTTAAATATGAAAATTTCGATGATATAATTGAATCATATAAGAAAATTCTTCCAGACAAGGATATTGTAAAATCATTTGATGATAATGGTTTTGACCAAAGTTCAACTTCAGATTCAAATAGCGGTCGTGGTGGAACGGCTTGTAGTACTGAGTCGCATAAATTAACAAAAAAGGCTACACAACAATCTTTAAGTTCTATTGGATCTACCAATAATATGCCAACTGGGCAGGAGAATGCTGGATCAGATTTGAATCGTTCCGATATTGGTTCTGATAACTCAAATACATTGATGGGTGACAATATACCAACAAATAAAACTAAAAGTAACTCTATGCCAAATGATTTATCTTCATTTTTAATTGAACGGGCATGTTCTAATAGTAAACTAGCCAACTATCTTTACTGGTATTTATCGATTGAAGTTGAAGATCAAGAAAATGTACGAAAACAAGATGAACGAGTTCGTAATATGTATACAATGGTATTGAAAATGTTTTTAAAAGTTTTGGAAAATGGTAATAGTAAATTAAAAGTAATTAGACAAAATTTGGATAAACAACAAAGATTTATAGACGAATTAGTTCGATTAGTGAAAATTGTAGCTAAAGAACCTGGAAACCGAAATAAAAAAACAGACAAATTCAAGCAACTTCTGGCTGATGCTGATTATTTTAAAATTAATTTTAAGAGATTTGAACATGAAATACCTTTTCCTCTAGATCCTGATGTAAGCATTACAGGAATAGTTCCCGACAAAACATCCTTGTTTAAAAGCGCTTTAATGCCGTCTAAACTGACTTTTGTAACTTCGATACCTCGCCAAGAATATGTAGCAATTTTTAAACACGGTGATGATCTCAGACAAGATCAACTAATTTTACAAATGATAACTTTAATGGATAAATTATTGCGCAGAGAAAATTTAGATTTAAAACTCACTCCTTATAAAGTTTTAGCCACTAGTTCTAAGCATGGATTTTTGCAATATATTGAGTCCTGTACTGTTGCAGATGTTTTAGCAAAAGAAGGTAGCATTCATAATTATTTTAGAAAACATAACCCATGTGAAACTGGACCTTACGGAATAAGTTCAGAAATAATGGATACTTATATAAAAAGTTGCGCTGGTTATTGCGTTATCACTTATTTATTAGGTATTTACATGTTTTGTGTATTAATATTAAATAAATCTTTTTTAATAAAAAATTTATTTTGTAGGTGTTGGTGATCGTCATTTAGACAATTTACTTCTTACTGAAAATGGTAACCTGTTTCACATTGATTTTGGTTATATATTGGGACGAGATCCTAAACCCATGCCACCACCAATGAAACTTAGTAAAGAAATGGTAGAAGCTATGGGGGGTATAAGTTCCGAGCATCATCATGAATTCCGAAAACAATGTTATACAGCATTTTTACATTTGCGTAGACACGCTAATGTGATGCTGAATTTATTTTCATTGATGGTTGATGCTAGTATTCCAGATATTGCGTTAGAACCTGATAAAGCGGTGAAAAAAGTTGAAGAAAATTTAAAGCTCAGTCTAACCGATGAAGAAGCAGTCCAGCATTTGCAAAGTTTATTGGATATTTCAATTACAGCTGTAATGCCAGCATTAGTCGAACAGATTCACAAATTAGCTCAATATTGGCGAAAATAAGATTTTAAGCGTACATTTTATAAAGACACTTTTGCTTTGTAAAATAAATTATATACATATATGTTTTTATATTTTTAGTTTAAATTTAAGAAAAAATTAATTTTTTTTAGATATTAAAATTATTATGTATCCACACTTATTATGACTTTTGACATTATTAATTTATAATTATGTAAATTTCTAAAGCAATTGGCATTATCAGTTTTATAATTTTTAGCACACTTGTAATGTGATTATTTGGTTTAATAAAATTTTAATGCAAAAGAAATCATACATATATTTGTATGTATATTTGAATATACATATGTATATATGTATATTATGAATTTAGCAAAAATTCTTGCCTTATACTAAGATTAATTATTAATGGAGATGTTGAAGGTATTGAAGAGAAAAATTCGCAATATAACATATGAAAGCAATATAACATTTATTTTAGGCACACTAAGATTTATAACAGAATCACAATTATTTCAGTAATTTAACAAAATCAATGTCTGAAAAAAAAGTTAATAACTCTTTTGCAATTAATTGTCTTACACAACGTAAAAACACATGCACCCATATTCTGTCAGTAGCATTACTTGACGTTATGGGTTGTTATTAAAAATGTTTGTAATTTTCTGAATAAAATCAATTTTAAATTTGGGAATTCTATAGTAAAATCCAAAATAATTTTTAATAATATCCCATTACTTCAAGTGATGCGACTAACAGAATATGGTTGATAGTTTTTGATTTTCTTTCGAAAATGGCTTTGGGCATTTAGGTTTTGGTACATCTTATAGATAATATTGTGTTTAACAAATCATTCAAACATGACATACAGATTATGTTAGAATACATTTATATATATATGTATATATATATACTAAAAATTATAATATGATAGAAAAAATAAATTGAAAAGCTTTTCTTTTTTTTTAGTTTGAAATTTGAGACTTCATTTTGAGTCAATTTTTTTTACATTCAACTTATTTAGACCCACATATTGAATAGAAACAATAACACATTTTTTTCAATTTAAAATATGAATATAATTTAATTTTTATAATCTAGTTATGTATGCTTTTAAATATTGAACTTGAACTTACAACTCAATCAACATGTTTGTAGGAAGTGTTATAGTTGATTTTGTTTTCCGCGGTTAAGTAATTTCATGATTCATGATATTGAATTGAGGGAGCGAAAAATTATATTCAATAATTGTGTTTTTATATATGTACCTACTTATCATCTGAATTTATATGAAATACCTAATAATTTTATATTCGATAATATATTTGATGCGATATTTTTTCAATTTAGTAATTTGATTTTTTTTATTGTTCTTGTTTTTCTTTTCAAGCAATTTTTTCTTTATTGTAATGCATTTTCATTTAGTGGTTTTTTTTATTTATCAAAATGCATCATTACTATACAATGAAAAATTTATTACAATATAAATTATAATTTTCTTTCAGTACATCATTTGAGTTTGAAAAGAAAAGTGGCAAAATTATTAAAAATATCTTAAATATAAAATATCAAAATTAAAAAGAAAAAATAAATGGCAAAGGCTGAGGTTTGTATAAATAGTCATTTATAAGAGGAAAATCGATTTAAAATATTTTCTTAATTTCCAAAAAAAAAAAAAATTTATTTTGTCAAGAAGTCTTGAGCGATTAAAGTCTGCTTATAAAAATTTTCGATACTGGGTAGTTTTGGTAATAATGCTAAACTAAAAATAGTGCAAAAATATTCTTATTTAATAATTTTTCAATTCTAAAATTGTAAAAGAATAAAATTCATGGATTTATTGGATTGTATATTAGACCTTAATTAAAAAAGGCAATTTATATATTAAATAAATGTATTTAACAATTTAAATTCAATTTAAATTTTAATATAATTTATTTATATTAAAAAAATACAACCATTGTGCAAAATAGAAAAATTATGGAAATGAATTTTCGATTGCATATGTTTAGGCTAAATATTTTTATAGTATCTACATTATTTTTTTATTTCCGTAATGAAATACGAATGGGAAAAATTAAATAATTTTAAATAAGGGGTATGAAACTGTGATTCTAATGTATTAAAATGATTAACTTCTTAGTTTGTAGAACTTCTACAATTTATTTAATTTAATTTAATTATAATATCCACTCAGTTATAATTAATTCCATTTTGAAACTTTTTAAAAGCCCTAAAAAAATTTTTAATAAAATTTTAAAGTCACAAAACTGAGCAGAAAATTCGAAGAGTTTGAAAATTTCAATGCCTTTTTTTTAGACGAAAATTGTAGGAATTTACTTAATATTACATTTTTAGGCATTTTATTTTTAAAATATTGTTGTACAAAGCTTGAAAACTATATTAATTTTAATGAATTTTATTAAATATTAAATATAAATGAATGTCTATTCAATAAATATTATTATTATATGCATAATATCTCTATATAAAACAATATTATTAACCAAATAAATTTAATACATTTGTGGTTATTATGTTCTAAGAATAATTGAAATTTTATCTCAACATTTAAGTTATCTTATTATGTAATAGCTTTAATTAAGCGTTCTACCCGATGTCGTAACTTAATAAGAAAAATTAATTTTATTCAGAAGTTAAATTATCTTGAGAAAAACCTATACAAGTAGCTAAATATATATATGCATATATATGTGTTATTAAAATAATATATTATGTTATAATATAACTACATAAATGTATAAAATAGCAACCCCGGAATTTTGTTTCTCTACGAAAATTAAATACACATGTATTTTCTTATTAATGCACATATGAATGGCTGTTTCTCAGAATGTCAAAAATATGACGATCATATTAATCACATCATGCGCTTGATTTTGAAAAGCAATGGTTTAATTTTAAAAATTATTTCTCACACTCACTTATCCACCTTTAAAGAAATGTAAAAAAAATTAAAATAATAATCAGCTGCGTTCGCAACGTAGTTGGTCTGGTCAATTCGCGTTAGAATTCATGACCAGTATCAATTATACGTATTTTGATATAGTGGGAAACGAACTATATAATATGTATGTATGTATGAAGTTTGGTATTTACTTTTTAGAATTACTCTTATTTCTAGATATTTGACATTCCAACCAAAATAATGAAAGATTTTAATGATTTGTCACTTGAAGAACGCCTTGAATTTCTCGATTCTTTTGATATTGCATTTTGTGACTGTGACGGTAATTATTATTAGCCATATTTTTCTTTAAAAGTAAGGAAAAACAAAATTATCTTTTTTTTGTAGGTGTAATATGGAAAACAATGCAAGAAACCATACCAAACATTGGAAAATCTATAGAATTTTTAAGAGCAAATAATAAAAAAATTATTTTTGTAACTAACAATAGTTTACGTACTTTTCCAGATCAGATTAGGAAATTTGCTGAAAATCATATTGACGTAAATGATGTAAATAAAATTATATAAATTACATACATATTTTGTTTCTTCATTCAAACAACAACAGAAAAATAATTTTTATTAATTTTTCGTTTGAGGATGATATTATTCGGCCTTCTAATGCGATTGCTGCTTATTTGAATAAAATTAATTTTAATGGTATAGCTTATGTAATATCTAATTCACCATTTCGTCAAGATTTAGAGGAGGCTGGTATTAACACTATACATGGGGTAATTATTGTTTTTTTTAAATAATTTTTAAATTGCAAATTTTGCAACTGTAATCTTGTACTAAATGTAAAATTTTGTAATATTGTTTTTTAGCCAAATGGTGTTGTCGAGGAAAATTTTGAAGATTTAAGCAAACATATTTTCGATAAAGAAAAAATTGGAGCCGTAATTATTGATATTGATTTTAATTTAAGCGTAACAAAGTTGATAAAAGCTCATCTTTATTTAAAAGTAATTTTGAGTTTATTGAATGCCACAAATATAATTAGTTAAAAAAATATTAAAACCTATAAATAATCATTAAATGCTTTTTGTAATTCAGAATGAAAATTGTCTTTTTATCGGAGGTGCATTCGACACTGTTATACCATTTGGGAACACCGATATTGTGGGTAAATATTAATTATAGTTATAATTAGTTATATTTTAAATAATAAGTAAAATATTTATTAAAAGAAATTTTCAATTTTAGGTCCTGGACCATTCATAAGTGTTGTTGAGAAAACAACTGGAAAAAAACCAAAAATTTTTGGTAAACCTGGCCATGAACTTGGTGAACTTCTTTTAGAGATTTCAAATGATATATCACCAAATCGTGTTTTATTTATTGGAGATCATTTAAATTCAGATATTAAATTTGCAAATCATTTAGGATTTCAAACACTTTTAGTATTTACTGGAGCAACAAAGCGTGAAAATTTATCTGATTTAACGGAAAACGATCGTATACCAGATTATATTGCTGATACTTTAGTAGATATTATAATACCATGAAATCGAATTAATGTAAATTGATCCATGTCATAATATTATTGATATTTTTATTCTCATTATTCGATATGTTAATTCGATATTTTAATAATGCAATTAATTAAATTTTTTTTTGTATTGTTTTATTGCTTGCTATATTTTATATGTTGAGATCTTATTAAAAGAACTTCGCGATAGTATTTATTTCAAACGCATTGCTATTCCTCGTAACACATATGCGAAAAAGGATTTGAAATGATTTTTAACCAGTTAGGAAGAGCTATAAGTTCACAATAATTTTTTTTTATACATAATAGAAGACATTTTTCTTATTTCTTCTCTTTCTATAAGCAAACTTTTTTCATAATGTAAATTTAAGAATATACTAAAATAAAACGCAACTGATTGAATATACTGAAGAGATTTTTTGGTGAAGTAAAAAAAAATTTAAACATATTGATCTGGACATGGAAAATTTGTTGTTATATTTCAGAAATTTATTTACATATGAATTAAGTAAATCATTCTAATTATACAATTATAAAGTAAAATATGTATAAGATCATTACATCATATGCAATTATATTGTTATATTAGATAATATGAAAAAATTAAGCAAAAAAATAGTAGTGCAATTACTAATAATTTATAATGCTTTATAAAATTGCAGCTTTCTATGAGTATAATAAAAAGACTTATCTGAATAAATTAATAACACAAAATTTTTGTCAGTATATGATTTATACAAAATTGTAATCTTCGGATTCATTATTTGAATTCACGTTACTTAATACAAAATTTTGGCTACCCAACTAGACAATATTAAACTAAAACTAAACAGCTATGAATTCATATAATACCTTCAGTGCTTATAACTTCAAGACAATATTTTTAAAATTTGAATACTTTTTGAATGTAAAATTTTGTAAAACACCAATATTGTACTAAGAATTTTATTCGATTTAATCCATTTTAAATTATGTACTTAAATGTTTTGATTATTTAAAATACTCAGCAAATTGTTTTAAATTAAATTTTATGGCCATAACAACCATTATATTATAATACATTATATAATTGCATTATATTATAATGAGCATGTGGTTTTGAATGCATTAAGCTTTAACAAACATGTATAATAAATTATTTAATTAATTTTACGAAAAATAATTTTCCAATTTTTTTGATAAAGTTTTTAGTTCATTAAATTTGACAAATAACAAAAAGCACATGCACAGAACATTATATAAATATTTATAATATGAACAAAATTTATAGAATAACAAAACAATATTAAGGATACCTAGATAAACAGGTAATCCGCAATATAATAAGTTTAGAATGTAAAAACTACGAAGTGTTTAGGTTAAGAAGAAAATTTGTTCTTTATGTTTATTTATGTCTTTATGTATTGTCAGTGAGCTTATTCTGCTATCGACGCACTGCATATTTGATCGTAACTGAATTTATAATACACTTATAATCAAGTCGGAAACAAGATTTTTAATTATAGTCCTATATTAAGGTAAAATTTTTGATTATATATGGTTATGTTTAATTATTGGAACGGTAAGTAATGAATCGACTCCGATAATAATTCTGATAATTCTAATATAATTATTGTTTAGTTTTGTGGTAGATATTATGTTGCAGACTTTATTGAGCAATCTTTTTCAATTCCAATTCAAAATTGTAATAATACGATACAAATATACTGCTTCCCTTGTGGGTGGTATTTGTTGAATTTGATCTAATACTCAAATGTTACGGCAGGCACATTATAAATTGCAATTATGCAAATGCTGTTTTCAAATTTGAAAACAATTTAAAAATATACTCGTATAAAGTCATTCGTTCATACTATTTGATTTCTACAAATAAGAAAATATAAACGAAGGGAATTTTTTTGGATAAACGATTTACTGAAAATTGAGTTTGAAGAGAGATTTACTGAAAATTGAGTTTGAAGAGTGATTTACTGAAAATTGAGTTTGAAGTGAGTATATTTCAAGTTATGTATATGTTATTAATGTTTAAAATATACGTTATATTAGGTATAAGCTAAATAAGATATATATTAAATATATAGAAACTAATAAAAATAGTAATTCTCTAAAGATTTCTTCTAATAATCGTAATTGTAGCTGTACGTATGTATATGACGATTATTTACATTAAAAAAATTCTATAGATTTGTGTGAAATCTTAACAGTTATAATATCTCTCTTGTAATACATAAAGTCTAAATAAAAGACGCAGTTCAAATTATCATTTTAAAAGCATTTTATCAGAAAAACATAATTGATCTTATATCATTAATAGATCAAGCATTCTTCTATTTGAAATAGAGGTCGAAAATTGTATGGAAAATAATATTTAGAATAATAGAAAAACCATTAATAAATTCTTTTATCTTCGGGCGTACTATAATAATTTTCCATATGGATAACTACCTACATACATTAATCTATAGACAATTAAATCTTTGGTCACGTGCCAGTTTCTTGTTTCTTTTTTTGAATCTTTTAAGAGTACAATAATTTTTTTTTAAAATTATAAAAAGAAAAAATTTCTGATTAATATGAAGTGTCGATGAATTGATTCGTTTTTTTACAATAATCAAAGAGAAATATTCAAAAAATAGAGTTGGGAAAATAGAAAACTGTTAATTAAATTATGGTATATATCGACTATTTATTGTTAAAAACAAAACAAGTTATCTACATAGATTTTAATGGCATTATGACGTAAAATCATGTTTTAATGACATTTTCAAAATTTTTTTTTGTATGACAAGAAATTTATACTCTTATAAAGGTATTGAACTTGCTATCGAACAAACATATAAGAAGACCGTGAGATTGCTCTCTCATTGCATATTATTGAAAATTGTCATATATTCAACGAAATCTTATATACTTTTTAATGCCTTCATGACAAGTTGAAAAACTATCTTAATAATTTACTTACGTATATTGTGAATGGAAAATCAAAATTTTAAATCATGTAATAAAAAATTCATATGAGTTCATCTTGCATACTATTGTACTATGTGAAAAAAAAAATATTTTTTTTTGAAAAATTATTTTAACAAAATTATTTTGTTATTATATCATTTGATTTGGTTGTGAAAAGACATGAAGTCAACATTAATTTTAATAATTTTAGTTGCAATTTTTAAAAGTAAGTTTTTTGAGTTGAAGTTTACCAAAGTTCAAAACAATTATATTAAAATATTACTTTAGTAATTTCAAAAAAAAAAAATTAAAAACAATAGCAAATAAATTTTAAAAAGAAGTTAAAGTGTAAAATGTGCAAAAAAAAAATTAAGAAGCGAAGATATGGGGTCGAAACATTGAAAAAATAATTAAAATAAAATATGTTCAAAAAAATTAAAAATTTTTAATCCTTATTGTTCAGTATTATGGATCATTCTTTTTCGAAATGAAATAACTTATAAAAATATCAGGACTATCGTGAATACGAGAAAAATTTAAGTTCAAATTAAAAAAAAAACAACAAAAACAATGATTTCCGCAACAAATTAATTATAATTAAATTTATGTTGTTCTTCTGATTTTGTTACTCGTTACTCCTGTCTCGAACATGGAAAAAAATTTTCTTCTAACGAAATGAAGCGTTTATTAGTATCTAAAAGCCCCTAAAATTTTAAGTTTCTACAGGCTGGGGTCTAGAAGAAATTTTTACCTATCTCCCCCCCTCTAGAAAAAAGTATCCACGGACGGACTGGCGGACGCACGAACAGAGTGAAACTAATAAACACTTTTTTTCAAAAATTTTTTGGAAAAGTGCTAAAAAATATAATATCACAATTTATTTATGTAACATTTTTGCTAAGAAAATTGTTGTTATTTAAAACTTTAAATATAAAATCTAAATAATGTAATTTATTGCAATTTATATAATGGCTCTTATTGTAGAAAAAATTAATATAAATTTTAAAAATGAAAATAGATTAAAAATTTTTAACTGAAAACATCTAAAATATATTTCATACAGATTTGCAGAATAATATGCAAAAATATATATTAGGCAGATTTTCGCATTATATCATAGAAATTTTTCTATTACACCTAGATTTCCTGTAGAAACTGCATATTTATAGAAATCAGTTTGCCCGATATTATAAAATATTATCCAACAATAATAAGTTTTTGTGAAAAATATAAAAAAATTTACTAGTTGTATATCAAATTGGAGAATATGGAAAGCGAATTGTGGGTTCGATTCTAAATTTTTTTTTATAAATTTCTGTTAAAGAAAATCTGTCAATATTGATTAATCTGACAATCTGTTTCATTAACACAATCTTCCAATGTACACAATTTGAATAAAATTACAAAAGAAACAAACAAGAAAATTTTAAATGTTTCAGTACCGCTGTGAAAAGCTCCACAGCACTTATAATTTAATGGGTCAGTATATTTCTTCTTTATAAATATAGCTAAATAATTTCTGATTAGTTTATATGATTTTTTTTCATTTAAAATAATAATAAATAATTAATATACTTAATCGTTTATCCAAAGAGTTGGTAACATTTTTAATAAAGATTAATTTATAATTTCGAATAAATAGTTAAGGTTAGGGTGGTAACATTTTATTTAGAATGTGTCACATACTTATTATAACAAAATTTGTGGTAATTATTGAAATTATTTTAAAGTTCTGATTTTTAAAATTCAATGTTTCTTTGCCTTCAATTGTAAACCAAAAATAAAATACCGTAATTTTAAATAAATAATAAGACTATACATAATTCCGAAATTTATTTTTCTTTTTAGGTCAGATCGTTCGTACGCAGTTCTGTTTCACATATCCAGATCCTTGGACTAATGTTCGAATATATTTCTATCATGGGTAAATTTCTTAAATTTTGAATCAAAACCTTTTTAAGTACATATGTGATTTTATTTTAGTGATAAAAATTTACAGAACGTATCATATCAATTAAAAGATGCAAATCAACTTTTAGAGAATGCAGATTTTAATATTGAACATATAACAACTTTATATGTACATGGTTATACAGAAACCCAAGAACGTTTTAGTATACCAACATTGAAGAGAGCTTATAGCTATCGCAAAAATTATAATTTTATAACTTTAGATTACGCTTCATATTCTAAGGGTGATATAGTATTAGCTTATTATAGGGCTGTTAATGCTGTCTCATATGTAAGTACATGTGTGCGTATAAAATTTTTAATTTTTCTGCAATTCTATACCCTTTTTGTTGTTTTTAGCTAACTCCGTTTGTTTCACAAGCATTAATAAAACTTTTTAATGCTGGATTGCCAATTGAAAAATTTCATTTGATAGGTCATTCATTAGGAGGACAATTCGTAGGTTATATAGGAAGAAATATAATTGCACAAACCAATGGTACAAAAGTATT